TGGGTATTCACATGAGAAAAGTTATTTAATAAGGCTCAGAGGAATACCAAATATTCATTAGAAAGACAAACTTGCTATATGGTAAATGTTCATATGCATTGGAACCTAATTCCAGAATCATTGAATGAATAATAACTGAGCATCTGCCGTGTGACAGAACATTCTAGGAACATTATGTATTATATTCCTTTAGATATGTCTTTACAATTTAATTATTAACTGATGTTGATATCATTAAATTATTGCCATTTTACAGATTGTTTCTATTAAAAAAAAATTTCCTCTGATGATAATGAGGAAACACAGTATTGAGTGTACAGCTGCTGCAGAGAATATTTACTATTATTTGAGCAACCAGAGCTGTCAAATATTCCTCATTTGCTATCCCCAAATTTTTGGTAATAAAAAATAGGGTTTTGTCCTTCGTTATATTACATGCGAAGGGCAAAGGCGACTTCCCCGGCGCTCTGCGGTGAATGGTGTGTCCCTTAATGAACAGCAGGGGTCACATCCTGAGGCGGCTGAGGTCATGATAAGAAAGTAATAAATCTCATTACTGCCCCGTCGGCGTGGCTCAGTGGTTGAGTGTCGGCCTGTGAACCAGGAGGTCATGGTTCGATGCCCGGTCAGGATCCAGGAAGTCGAATAGGGAAGTCGCTTCACACGTTGTCCGTGCTAACAATCTAAATGCATTCCAACATTTTTATCTTAAGCCCATTCGGGTTGAGAAGCATCGGGCTGCAGTTCGGTTTCTAGTATATTATTTCCTTTATTTAGAAACGGCAAGTCTGACTTCTTAGGCAGGAAGCTGTACTTCCATAGGATGTGGGGGTGGGCAGTATTGAGAATTACCCAAATGGTGACGGAAGGAGGCTTACCTCTGGGTGGTGAACACACAATGCAATACACAGATGGTGTAAACGATTGTGCACCGGAAACCTATATCATTTTATTAACCAATGTCACCCCAATAAACTCAACAAAAATTTTAAAAAAGAAAAAGAATTACCCAGTAATTCAACAATAAAGATAAATTAAAAAAAAAAAAAAAAAGAATTACCTAGCAGTGAATTCATGCGTAAACAGTACATACTTCTATTTGGATTTATTTGGGGAGATTCCCAAGGGCTTGTCACAGAAATTCTCAAGTTTAAATTCAGTCTTTGTGATTGACAGTGAAAGTGGAGTAGGTCTTATTCAAAGATGTGTGTGACTTACAGTCTCCTGCAGTTGTGGTCATTCTGGGTTTTTTTCGATTATCTCTAAATTCCGTGACTCTGACTCATTAAAAAAAAAAAAATTAGAATGGAAATTTTAATTAATGGAACTACTGTACCTCTTTAAGATAATAGTGGCTATTTTCAGACTGACTTAAAAAGAAATGAGAAATAGTGATGCTTTAACCTTCGTGTAGCATATACTAGTACAGGAGGAGGTGCACTTTCTAAAACATCTAGTTAGTAATTGGTTACTTCAGATAATTTTTGAAAATACTATTAAAGATAGTTCTAAAAATATATCTGTTACAATTAGTAACTGATTGAGCTGGCTCTTTCCATCATCGTAAAGTAAACACAACAGCTTACAAAACAAAAAAAGATTTTCCATATTAAACTTGGTCAGAACAATGGCACATTCCTGGGCTCGGGATTCAAAAGTGAGGATTAATTCAAAGCAGATGGGTGCGGGGATGGAGGCTAAGACAGTCCTGCCTTCCTGCTGTGACCTTGAAGAATTGAATGTACAACAAGGTTTTGCTTCCTTTAAGTGCTTCTCTGTCCTTTCAGTGGGCGAGAGGGAGGCTGTAGAAATGCATGGACGTGTGCCATCTCTGTCCACGCTTTGGCACTCAAGAAAAGCTCCCAGGGAAACTCGCTTCTGGAGCATCCCCATCCCCTCTGGCTGTTGGGCTGCCTTTTCTTCTGCTCAGCTGACACATGTGGCTGCTTATTTCGGTCGCTTCCACAGCTCACACTAGTAGTCCCTAGTTATATGAAAGGACATCAGGAAACTATTATGAGTTAATATGCTTACAAAGGCCATCAGAGAGCCAAGGCGAAGACATCGCTGGAGATTCTGGGGAGGGAGGAGGAAGCGGATCACAGCCACTTCCTCCCACATGGTGATGCGGGGCCTCCACAGGGCTCGCCCCCAGATCTCATCAGAAAAATATTCCAAGGCTGGCATGATGGACTTGTCCTGAGGACACGCTCATGTGGCATGTGTGTGTGTGTGTGTGTGTGTGTGTAAATACATACATACATATATGTATATATATAGGGTGTCCCCCCAAAAATGTATACACACTTTCACAGCTAGTAGCTGTTAAATGAAAATGAAATGCATTTTCATAAACATAACTTATAACTATATTCTAAGTTTGCATGCATTTTGGGGGGGACACCCTGTATATAATAATGACGTACTGATCTCTGCTTCAGAACGAAGCTGTTTCTAAAATTCACCGAGGTAGAATCATTTCTCCAAAACTAACACAGGGACTGTCCATCTTCTTGCTTGTTATTCTTGTTTACAGAAGTGGTGAGCCCTCCCTTGCCCCTGGGGTTTTTGTGTCTTTTTCTGCGGAAGGTTTGTGAATGAAATAGAGAATATTTTAGACATTTGAGGCCTGGGAATTCCCTTGTGTTTTTTCATATTCGAAACCAAGTGATGAAGGTAAAGTCTAGGTAATTGAAAGAGTTAAGAGGACTTCGCGTTGGTGGCCTGAGAGGGACAGATGGAGTGCGCGCAGGTGGGAAAGCGATTTAGCGGAGGAGGGCGTGGGGTTGTCAGGGTAGCTGGGCACTTAGCATGTTGGGGACGGATTCTATGTTTACTGAGATGCAATAGAAGCGGAAGCCAAGCGCAGCATATGGTCAGGACGGGACAGGATGGGCGGCAGAAAGAGTGGCAGCTGAAATACCCAAGGGGAGATGAGAAATGATATGGTGGTTTTGAGGTACCTGAGGCCTCAAGAAACTGAGACACGTCGGGCAATAAGGAAACTCGTTTGGCTCTGCTGATGCTGTTACCTGGTTTGGGAAGTGTGTCTGTATGCATGGGGAAGGGAATAAAGGAAGCCTCTCCCAGCGACCACCTTGGGCCTTGACCAGTGTGCCTATGAGTCAGTGAGTCAGGAAGTGAGAATCAGGTGAAGCTTTCACGTCACAGGCAGGAAACCAGCAAAGCCCTGCGATGCTACAAACCAGCGGAGATGTTATCAACGACCAGCCAGGAAGGGATGAACCACCCCCACGTGTGTGCTTCGGGTTTACATTTGAACATTCCTGTTCTTTTTTTTTTCCTTTCTTTCTTTCTTTTCTTTCTCCCCCCCCCCCCCAACTATTGGGTTCATAAAACAAGGCAAAAAACAAACAAACAAAAAGTTGCCTTGGTTATGTGGGAACAAGCCCTTTTCCTGTGGTGTTGTTGGCTCAGTGTGGCAGGCTTGCCAAGTCAGCTGCCAGCCAAGCCTTCTCTTCCTCTGGCAGCGGGTGGGTGTGGGCTCCCCCCGCCCCCCGCCCCGGTCTCGGAGTTCCTGAGCAGGACCCTCAGGTGCTGGGTGAGTGTAGGATGGATCTAGGGACCCTCCTAGGGACCCTCCAAGTGCTGAGTGAGTGTAGGATGGATCGCCAGCCTAACTATCCCTGGGATCTGTGGATGACTTTACAGTTTACACACGTACTGGCTGGAGCTTTCACATCCATTCTGTAACATGTCAACACTTGCTCCTCCCCTGTAGGTATGTGAGAAACCAAAATATGGATTAGAAGAGGGAACAAATTGGTGAATTTTATTCTTGATTATTTAGGAGGGATGAGAAAGCCCACAAAATAGCATATACACAAAACATAAAAAGCACAAAGAGGGCGCAGGCTTACTGCTTCTTTACAGAATAACGACAAATAAATGTGGGGAGTTTTAGAAAGTCCATTTGGATCATGGTTCATATACCTTTTTTGTCATGAACCCCACTGAGAATTGAATTTAAAAATGTATGGATTCCCTCATGTCCTCCTCTTTAAGAAGAAAGCATATATGTACACAATGTTATAATATATATATATATATATATATATATACATATATATGTATATTATATACTCAGAAGTTCTCACAAGGCCCATCCAGGCGACACAAATCTGTGAATCTGGCCAAGTGCAAGTTGTAGGCGCAGGTGAGAAAGAATGCTGACTCTGGTGTCTCCCTAGACAGGAATGCCAAGTTAGACAACAGAATGTTGAAGTTTGTGACAAATCAGAACACATATCCTTACCTAAAGTAAATTCAAATGCTAAACCATTTTTAAAAAATAACACCTGCTACGTTTTAATAGCCAAGATATGGAAGCAACCCAAGTGCCATCAGTAGAGGATGGACAAAGAAGATGTGGTACATGTATGCAAGGGAATTGTTACTCAGCCATAGAAAGAATGAAATCTTACCATTTGCAGTAGCATGGCCGGGTAGCTCAATTAGTTAGCACATAGTCCCGCTATGCCAAGGTTTCTGGTTCAGTCCCTAGGCAGGGCACGTATAAGAATCAGCTGATGAAGGCATAGGTAAGTGGAATGACCAGTTGATGTTTCTCTCTCTCTCTTTCTCTCCCTCTCCCTCTCCCCCCCTTCTTTTCTCTCTCTAAGATCAATCAATCAATAAAAAATAAAGATGCAAATTGGTAGTTACAGAACTCATGGGGATGTAACGTACAGCATTTGGAATATAGTTAATAATACTGTAATACCTGTGTGCAGTGCCAAGTAGGTACAAAATATCAGGGGAAACACTTTGTAAAGTGTATGATTGTCTAACCACTATGGTGTGTACACCTGGAACAGATACAAAATAATGTGGACTGTAAACTATAATCTTTAAAAATATAGCACCTGCTAAATACAACACATTTGAGGTAAATTTGAGCCCAGCCCCTCTGGTTCGCAATTCTAGGCTTTCATTTGATCTCTGTAGACATGGGGATATTCTCATTGTTTTGCCCCCAGGCACGACAACAAGCTCAAGTCCGTCACCAAATGGCAGAGGACAGCAAAGCTGATTACTCATCGATTCTTCAGAAATTCAACCACGAGCAGCGCGAGTATTACCACACTCACATTCCCCACATATTCCAGGTCAGTTTGTCTTTCTAAGAAATGTGTGGCTTTGGGATTGTGGTTGCTGGTCATATTCTAAGTTATTTATATAATTCTCAATTTCCTCTAATCCAAGTCATTTTGTGGAGCCTTCCGACATAGACTCGCAGTAAAACGAAGTAAACTGTTCATCTCAAGATTCATCAGTAGCCTTGGTAGCTTCCTTGGTTTGCCCCACAGTCTAGCACTGTGGTTCTTTTTTTCTTTTCTTTTTTAATATGTTTTATTGATTTCTTACAGAGAGGAAGGGAGAGGGATAGAGAGTTAGAAATATCAATGAGAGAGAAACATCGATCAGCTGCCTCCTGCACACCCCCTACTGGGGATGTGCCTGCAACCAAGGTACATGCCCTTGACCGGAATCGAACCTGGGACCTTTGAGTCTGCAGGCCAACGCTCTATCCATTGAGCCAAACCGGTTAGGGCAGAACTTTGATTCTTAAATTAATGCTTCCTTTGCTAAAAGGACCGTTCTAGTTACTGCGCCCCCCTGTCCCCCGCAAAAAAAAGCCAACTTAACTTTAGGAATCAATTTGCATTCATAGGTGTAAGATTTGAACAGGTGACAGTTCTTCGAATTGTTTTTCTTTTGACTCCTTTATGTTTTCAAAAATGGTATGAGAAAAGATATTTAAGCCTTAAAACAAAACAAAACAAAAAAGATACACACATGTCCTCTCACCTTGGGAATCTTTTACAACCTCAAATGCAGTTGTAGAAAAAACAATAGCTCTTAGCTTCATAGCGTCTGCACGCACGCGAACAAGAGCCCCCCACCTCGCAGAAGGAAGCTGCGCTAGTTACACCCCAGCCCTGCTTGGGTTGAGACAGTTAACCAAATACTGTGCTTTTGGAAAAGGGTAAAGCAGTGGGTCTGAGATGAAGGAAATGTGTGAAAGCTAATACCAAATGGTGTTAATACTAAAAGTACCTGAGTTTGGGATTCTTGCTGAAATAGGAGTGGAATTGTGTGAAGTATACATTTGGGCAGCCCACCAGTTCATAAAATGCGTGTACAGGGAGCAATAACCTTACAGTTGCTCTAACTCTAACCCTTCCTATGGGCCTGTTTGCTTACTGGACAGTTGACTCACGGTAGCAGTGCTGCTGAAAAACAGCACCGTTAAATGACAGCAGTGGGCAGATGAATTTTACACAAAATCTGATGTTACAGAAAATACAGGAGATGGAGGAGCGGAGGATAGTGAGACTCGGAGAATCCATGAAGACCTATGCGGAGGTCGACCGGCAGGTGATTCCAATCATTGGGAAGTGCTTGGATGGAATAGTGAAGGCGGCCGAGTGCATTGATGAGAAAACTGTAAGTATGGGAGGTGACCTCATCCAACCTTCTCGTGACAGGCCGCTGCTCTCGGTGTCAACAGTAGCTGCTTCCGCGCTGTCTGGGTGTTCCATGTTTTGAGCGCCCCTCCCATTCTCCCATCACCACTGACCCTTTCCTTCCATGCGTCTCTGCATCTGCAGTTCGCTCAAAGGCTTTGGGTGGTTTTATGTGCCTGGCTCATGGACGGAAATCACGCCAGTCTCAGGGATTAATCTACCCTGTGTACAGTGTCCGCAGTCACCAGCGCGCCACTGTGCGGAGAGGGCCTTTCAAGGGAAATAGTAATGGCGGGTTTAGAAGTTAAGTCTCCAATCTTGACTTCCCTGAAACAAGCCCGGCTTTAATTTCTTACATTAGAAGCTCGGAAATGTCTTTTTCCTTGAAATTTTACAACCGCACAAGGTTATGTCAGAATGGTGGTTTCCCTTTTAACTACAATAACTACGGCTAATCAGTTGAAATCTTTTCAAATGATCTTCTCTAGTTTTTGTGGGTTTTTTAATTAGATGACCATCGAGCTAGACTGTTATTACCAATCACTCGTGTTTTTGTGATACTTTATCTGTGCATGGACTCCTTTATCTGGGGCACTGTGCTTGCAACTTTCTGAGCCCCCTGAGGACATGTTGACCCGATGTGCCTAGCAGAGTGCACGCCGAGGAGTAGGCATCCGGTGCATTGATTCGCCCAGCACATTTTCATTGCACACCGGGTGCCAGCTAGGCACTGGGGATTCGGTAGAGCAAAAGGAGGAGAACTTACTTTCCAGCAGAGGAGAGACTGAGCAGTATATGCATGAAGTAAAATTATGTAATAAATTAGCATCACAATGAACCGAGAAATTAGAGAGGTCATCTACTCTTTGCTCTGACTTTGTGTATGCTAAATTGCTTTAAGAACTTCTTTTTTTTTTTTTTAATATATTTTTTATTGATTAAGATATTACATATGTGTCCTTGTCCCCACGTTACCCTCTACCCCCCACCCCCCCCAACCCCGCTCATGCCCTCACCCCCCTGTTGTCCATGTCCATTGGTTAGGCCTATATGCTTGCATATAAGTCCTTTGGTTGATCTTTCCCCCTTACCCCCACCCTCCCCTACCTTCCCTCCAAGTCCCGACAGTCCAATCAATGCCTCTCCGTCTCTGGATCAGTCCTTGTTCATCAGCTTATGTTGTTCATTATATTCCACAAATGAGTGAGATCCTGTGGTATTTATCCGCTCTCAAGTTCCATCCATGCTGTGGCAAATGGTAAGAGTTCCTTTTTCTTCTTCCTCTTCTTAAAGAATACCTTTCAGCATTTCATATAATGCTGGTTTGGTGGTGATGAACTCCTTTAGCTTTTTCTTATCCGTGAAGCTCTTTATCTGACCTTCTATTCTGAATGATAGCTTTGCTGGATAAAGTAATCTTGGTTGCAGGTTCTTGCTATTCATCACTTTGAATATTTCTTGCCACTCTCTTCTGGCCTGCATGGTTTCTGTTGAGAAATCAGCTGACAGTCGTATGGGTACTCCCTTGTAGGTAATTGACTGTCTTTCTCTTGCTGCTTTTAAGATTCTCTCTTTATCTTTTGCTCTTGGCATTTTAATTATGATGTGTCTTGGTGTGGTCCTCCTTGGATTCCTTTTGTTTGGGGTTCTCTGCGCTTCCTGGACTTGTAAGTCCATTTCTTTCACCAGGTAGGGGAAGTTTTCTGTCATTATTTCTTCAAAAAGGTTTTCAATATCTTGCCCTCTCTCTCCTTCTGGTACCCCTATAATTCTGATGTTGGTACGCTTGAAGTTGTCCCAGAGGTTCCTTACACTATCTTCATATTTTTGGAATCTCTTTTCTTTTTTCTTTTTCGGTTGGGTATTTTTTGTTTCTTTGTATTTCAAATCTTTGACTTGATTCTTGGGATCCTCTTTTCTGCTGCTGGATCTCTGTAAATTATTCTTTATTTCAGTCAGTGTATGCTTAATTTCTAGTTGGTCCTTTTTCATGTCCTCCATGGTCTCCCTATACTTATTGAGGGATTCATTAAATTTATCGGCGGTTTCCATAAAATTCTTGAAAAACCTTATAACCGTGGCCTTAAACTCTATATCCAATCGTTTGCTTTCCTCCATTTCTGCCATTTGTGACCTGTTTCTTTGTCTCCGCATTTTGGCAGCTTCCCTGTGTTGATAGAGTGGCCCTGTGCGCCAGGTGTCCTGTAGGGCCCAGTAGCTCAGCCTCCCCAGTTACCTGGGGTGGACACTCTTGGTGCACTCTTGGTGCCTTGGTTGTTGTAGAATCACTGGGAGGAATTGACCTCCAGGCCAATTGGCTGTGAGAATCAGCTGTGTCTGAAGTGGGAGCACTTCTGTGCTGAAGACACCCTTCTGGGGCAAGACTTGCTTCAGTGGGGCTTTGGTGCTCACTGAGTCTGCTCCCTGAGTGCGTCCCTTATGGATCTGAGGAGTTGCAGTCTGGATGAACCCCCTCTGACCACTGGGTACAGTGGCTCCTGGATCTAAGGAGGTGCTAATTCAGCCTCTGCCTGAGGCCACACAGCAGGAGCCACAAAGAGGCTCAGCTGTGAAGCAATGCAAGCCGCTGCGGGGCCTTGGGCCTTCTCTTGGAAGTTCCGGGTCTGCCTGGTTCGGCTGCAGTTAGGTACATTCACATGCAAAAGCCTCTGCCGCAGCCTGGGTGGGGCGGGGTCTCAGGGAGTCAGAGGGCGGAGAAAGCGGCCATGGCCGATTCTCCGCCGGAGTCGCGCGTCTCAGTGTTCCGGTAACGGCTGCAAGCACCTCTGAGGGAAAGCCGCCCTCAAGTTCGCCCGCTGCCGGACAGACCAGCTTCTCCCCGTATGAGACCTGGGTCCCCAGAGACTTCCCGGAACCGGAGTTCAGAGCCGTCGGGAGTTTGTGATTCAAAAAGACAGCCGCGTCCTCAGGCGCCACCCCCTTTCCTCGCGCGCGCGAGCCGCCGTACCTCTGCACTTCACCTCCGCAGCGCCTCTGGCTCTCAGCGTGCTTTTCTTTCCTTCTAGTTGTGGAATTTACACTCAGCCAGCCTTTCTGTTGTTCTGGATGATGTTTGCTCGGTCCTTCTCGGTAATTTTCAATTGTTGTGTGAGGCAATAATTTCCCGGTGTTTACCTATGCTGCCATCTTAGTTGCTCCCACCGACAATGTCAAGAACTTCTGATAGGAAATAGATTTTTGTGTGACTGTATTTTTTTTCAGGGAATTGCTTATAATAGCCCAATTTCTCTGTTTTTAGCCAAGTTCTTTTATTTTTATTGATTTCAGAGAGGAAGGGAGAAGGAGAGAGATAGAAACATCAACGGTGAGAGAGAATCATCGATCGGCTGCCTCTTGCATGCCCCACACTGGGGATCGAGCCAGCAACCCGGGCATGTGCCCTGACCGGGAATCCAATCGTGACCTCCTGGTTCATAGGTCAACGCTCAATCACTGAGCCACACTGGCCAGGCTTGCCAAGTTCTTAATTAATATTTGTTTTTCCAAATGCAGAAAACTGGTTATTGAAAGTATCTTCAAACATCAACTCAACTTATAGTGTTACAAATTATTCTTTCTAATAATAAAATTATTACTAGAAAAAATGTTTCTTATCAATTAATGTAGCTTCCCGAGAGTAACATCTATGCAGTAAACATAATTCATTGTGTAAAAAGCATTTGCATGTATTTGAATGTGTTTGTGTGTGATGGGTATAATTTCAGGACTCACAGCTGGTCATAGAGGCCTACAAGTCGGGGTTTGAGCCTCCCGGAGACATCGAATTTGAGGATTACACACAGCCGATGAAGCGCACCGTGTCGGAAAACAGCCTTTCCAATTCCAGAGGAGAAGGCAAAGCAGAGCCCAAATTCGGGGGCAAACCCAAAGGAAAGTTGTGGCCGTTCATCAAGAAAAACAAGGTACTGGCGGTTGGTACCTGGTGTGAATGAGTTTGATAAAGTGCAGATTTTGATTTTATCTTTTAGTCTTAAAAAAAGTACTAGGGTCCTAAACCTGTAGCTTTAGAATACCGAAAAGAAAAAAAAAGGCCAGTGTGCTATTTTCTTTTAAAACAGTCTTCTTTCTGGTGGTGGTACCTTTGCCATGGCCATTTGTCCAATTTCAGATGCATTGTCACCCACACTAACAGACGCCTGACCTCACCATTTCCCATCACGCCTCTCGCTCCTTAGACGGCTGGTCACGTGGGCTGGAGAAGGGGAGGGTGCAGACTCCTGTAACCACTTATCGGCATCTCTACCTGCAACAGTTTCCATGGGCTAGTAACTTGGTTTTGAACTCGTGCTAACACTCAGATCCATGAACATTTTCCGTTTTCTTTTATAGTGTAACACGTAGGTGCATGACGGCATTAACCTGGGGATAAAATATGATCGAGGCAACATGGCTGCTTTCCCCTTAGAATATTTACTCTGTAATTTAAAAAAAAAACTATCTTGCTATTTTCCCAGCCCTAGCATTTAAGGTCTTCCGTTTTCTCCCATCATGCTGTGTAAGTTTAGGTGGTTCCAAATGTTTACCCTTCTGGCTTACACTGGTCTAGAGTAACTGGTTAGAACTATAATTTGCATGTGAAAGTCCGCATGGGCTGCTGGTCAAAGATTTCTTGCTGTTCTTCTCTGCATTACTTACTAAAAACCCCACTTTCATCCTGTCCTTCATTCTGACATTCCCATGTTTTCTTTTGGACCATGGCCTAAATATTTAATTGTTTGTGTTTTACTTGCTTTGGATCTCAATTATTATTTGATGCTTATTTTTGTTTTGTGTCTTTATCTTCTTGTCTCTGATGTTTACTGTCACTGCTCCATCTCTTACACGTAGCTTATGTCCCTTTTAACATCCCCCCATCAGCCTCCCCCTCCTCCCCCTGCCTCTGCCTCACCCTCTGCTGTTCCCAACGGCCCCCAGTCTCCCAAGCAGCAAAAGGAACCCCTCTCCCATCGCTTCAACGAGTTCATGACCTCCAAACCCAAAATCCACTGCTTCAGGAGCCTAAAGCGAGGGGTAAGTCCTGCCCGAACCCTGTCTCTCGCGTGGGCTCTGGTTGCATGGTTTGCTCTGCGTAACTCGTTTTGTTTGTGAATGAACTCATTGTGTTTTCCCACCACGGAAAGCAGTCAGGACCTGTGACTCGAGACAGGCAGTTAGAAAGAGGAGGAAGGAGGCAGGGTGGCTGGAAGGAGCCATCCCGCCCAGAGTTCTTTCTGTCTTCAGTGCATTCCAGAAGGACTTTTCTCCGCTTCCCTTTTAAAACACTCAGGTCATTAATATTTTATCCTGATTTTACCAAAAAAGGGAAACTCAAGATTCAGTTTCTAAAGTTAGCACCCTGTGAGATGAGGAATTAGAACTCATTGTGTAGTCGGGATATATTTCCTTAATAATTAATTACTGAAACGACGTGAGGGTAACAAGGACACCTTTCTGAGCCCTGCCTCCGGGTCCCATGGGGAGATACGGGTCCCAGTGGTGTCTTCAGCTCTTCTGGTGAACGGAGGAGATGTTGATAAAAATTCCCATAGAATGTCTGCCTGGAGAAGGCCTGATGCGGTATTTATCTTTAAATGGTGAAGTAAGAGCCACCGACGTTTATTGAGCGTTTATTACATGCCAGACTCTGTTCTCCACGCTCATTTACTTTACTTGGGTTATTTTACGAAAAATAAGAAAACTGAGGCATAAAAAGGTAAAGTTAGGAAGATGGACAGCCAGGAGTTAAAGCCAGGGGGCCTATTCACAGGCTGGGGTTCTGTGACATCCGCACTGAGAGAGAACCTGTTATAACACTGGTGACTCATTGCGGGGGTGGTTTAGACTCAGGTGGGCGGTCTCATTACGGCTGCATGTGCTTAAGTCACAGTAACCCAGAGGAGAGAGCAGTTAGAAAAGGTTGGAATGAAGTATTGGCAGCATCCTGAATACATCTAAATTGTCCGTCTGAGCTGCCCTGCCTCCCTTTATAAGGAATAAATAAGCATGGTTATCAGGAGGAACCGTGGGTGCCTCTGCACACCCAGCTGTGGCCCAGCGGCCGTGGGATGTTCCTGCACAAACATAAATCCTACTGTCCCTCCTTCTGTGTAAAAATGAGGGTAACTGTGTCATAGATAACTTAAAATAAGGGACAAAGACCACAGGGTCTCAGTGTTCAGGAAAAGACCCAAGAATGTTAGTGATCAGTAAGTGTAAGAAAAAGATGGCAAGAAAAAAATATAGCACTTAAGCACACACACAAAAAAACAGTGAAATGGGGAACTGGTCATTTTGATCATTTAAAGGACCCCTCCTCACTCTCTCTTTTTTTTTTTTTAACCATAATTAGCACAATGAATTTTTATTTTTTACCCCTCAATTCTATGTTCAGCAAACCTCTGTTCAAAATTTTCCTAAATGGTGAGTGTGTTTTCTTTTACACACACATGCACACACAGATTTTTGTTTCTCTGTATTAGTCAGGTCAGATTTGATGTCCCTTCAAATCTGAAGTAGCAGTGCAAAAAAGAAAGCAAAAGGAGAAGGAAAAAAGATAAAGGAAATAGATTATAGAAGTGGGATTAGGAAATTCATAACAAAACAAATCTGAAGTTTGGGGGAATAAATTTGATTTTAAAGCAATTTCAGAACAGAAGGCACATGACTAGAATGATACAGTCCTTGCCACAATTTTGTATTCTATTTTTGAGCGTGAAGACTACTCAGATAGGAAAGGTATCCTAGAAAGATAACAAATCTGTGACTTCAATGTGTCTTTTAATGTATCGTGTTTGCAGCTGTCAGATCCAGATTGAAATAGTTGCTGTACCAGAATGTATAAATCTTGTGCAAACACTTCTTAGCCAATTTTGTTTCTAAATAATTACACAGGATAAAATCTTTTTTGTTGCAAATCAGTGACAGTTGTAAGAAAATGTTGTTCATTGAACATCTTTAAGGATTGGCATGCCCCTTGAGCGTTACTCACCATTATCTCATCTCTACCCTCGGTAGGATGTTCTCAGTTTCCCATCAACAAAGTGTAATTTCATTGTCTTAAATTAGAATTTCTTTTTCCGGTCTGAGCAAAGGACTTCTAAATCTAAAGTGCGGACCTTTTTGTCCCATGTTTTAGAGTTAATTATATGGGGAAATGCCACCAAAGTTTGCTCAAATGATTTTGAAAATCCTTACCCATTGTTTGTCAGATGTTACAATCCTCTGGTTACTTCCATTTTATTCATTGTATCCTGTTCTCTTGCTGATCATTGGCAGACTCAGTCTTTCTGTTTCCACAAAGAACTCGAGAAGAGGACGATAGGGAGACCCACGTATGCTTTTGAAGCTAGGGACTATGTTGTAAGTGTGTGTGACGGCCAGGCCCCGCAGTCACGGCACAGGCACTAACCCCATTGCCACCACCAAGACCGGGGACCCGGTGCGCTCTGGTAGGCTTCCACCGAGAAATGAAATTCTCAGTTGAGAGACCCGGACAGCCGGGGAGAAAAAAGTCTAATTGTATAAATTCAACCCCGGGCTACTTCATCCGGGAAACTTGTATGGAAAAAGGAACCAAACTTCCCAATAACAATGAAACTTCCTAAAAATGTCAGTAAGCAGAGCTTGGCTTTTCCCCTTTCCATGGGGGGTGACTGCAGTCTGAGAAGATGTTACGGCAGGACTTCCCCCATAAACTGCAGCTGCAGAGCGTGGTCACAGGAGGGTGACGCTCCTCCAGATGACAGGTGTGTGTCCCGGTCACCCACTTCCACACCCGCAACAGATGATCCCTAAGGGAGTCACCCCATAAAGCTTGGAGAACCCCCTAAATCCGTGAAGTATGCGCAAGGTCAGAAGAGTGGACTGACTTTGTGGCCCTCGCACACCTTGCTCAGATGTTTATTTCCGTGGTCCCCTTTCTTGTACTTGAGGTTAGTACCTGTGACTGCCGGTAACATGGATGCGCTAGCTCTCTGTTCCCATGTGCTCTTGACCTCATGGCTCCCAGGCTCCATAACTGTCACCTGACACTGACAGCTTTTCAGTACTCCAGGGCCTCGCAACGCACCGTATGCAGCCTTTAAAACGTCCCCGTAGCAGATGATTCGGTTTCTAATTGCAAATCTAACTGGCTGGCTTACAGCGTAAGACCAAGAACCGGTTTCTAATCGTTTCAAGCAGTAGCAAGTACTGTGATGGCGGGAAAATGGAATGTGTCCCAGAATTTGGTACCTTCTATTTTTACTGGCATTTATTCTCAATCCTAACGACTTATTATTATGAAGTGGCAATATTCTTAGTCTATTTGTTTTGATGTTAGGATCCTATATTTTATTTAACTTATTTTTGTTAATCCTCACCAGAGGATATTTTCCCCATTAATTTTTAGAGAGAGTGGAAGGAAGAGGGAGAGAAACATCAATGTGAGAGAGACACATCTATTGGTTGCCTCCTGCTCGCAGCCCAGAGTTGGGGAACATGCATCCGAGGTACATGCCCTTGACCAGACTCGAACCTGGGACCCTTCAGTACCAGGGCCAACGCTCTGTCCATTGAGCCACACCGGCCAGGGCAGGATCCTGTATTTTAGAATGCTTAAGAAAGACTGTGTAACTTTGAAAAACAGAAGTAGCTGAATAGAAAGCAGATAGTTGCCGAGGTCCAATCCCAGGCTCTTTGAGGCAGCGGTGTTGAGCGGGAATGTGCGAGAAACATCCGTCTATGGCCGTGTACTCTGTGGGGAAGGTATTTGCAGAGTTTCCCTCTGTGCACCATGAGCGTTGTCTGTTAAGAACTCAAACTGTGATGAGCAGGTCTGTGCCAAGTTCACAGGAGCGGCTCAGGGAGCCACCATCGCTGCCCACAGAACAGCCACGGCTGTCTGCACCTTCCCCCCAAGTTCTTTCCTTGAAAGTCTGCTTTTTCCTCCGACAGACAATCCCTCTGAAAGCACAGCCTGTTTACAGTGAAGTGCAGACATCGAGTTCGTCTTCAGAATAAGACTTTCTAAATCTGGTTGAGGAATTTGAACACCCTCCCGCCTCCTAATGGAAAGGAAAGGGCACTTTCTGTGAAACTTTGCCTCCGAGATAGTTTTGGGTCCCCTCCCCATTGCCTGAACCCCTAGGATTGGCAGCAGCTCAGAGGCACCGAACTGTCAGATTGGCTTCTATGGCCACAGAGCAGGTCTCGCCTGTTAATGCAGAACCAAGTGTTTCTTGTCCGAATTTTGAGAGACTTTTTTGTCTGTTTGGGGCCCAGTAATCACTACACCTTTGCTCACCGGCAGGATGGCAGCTGCAGGCTCCTGATGATGGCCCCGGAGGCCCCGCCCAGGAGTGGCCTTGGCTGTTGAGACCAGTGGCCGTCTAGTTCCCAAAGCTCAGGTTCCAGAGCAGTTGCTCCTGCTAGTTCCCCAAGTGCTACGCACCCCCTGTGGGCAGGGCTCAGCGGATGGAAAGCCTGAGGCCACCCTGCCCGGGCGGGCCCTGGGCCTCCGACTCCGCCCGGCGCCCAGGCTTCCTGGCTCCTGAGGCAGTTTCTCAGAGCAGCTTCCAGTCCTTGGTTTGCTGCTCAGCAGCCTGAGAGTTTGCTCACGTGCCTATAAGAAACGCCAGCGTTCCTATTCATCAGATTTCCTTCACGTGGAAATAGAACCTGCATGCTGTGGAAGTGATTGCTTCTCAGACTTCTAGACTGCAGCAAGTTTGGTGAACAAAAGGCTGTCTTTTATGATCGTTACATGCCAGCGACTTATTTTCGTTTCTCTCCGGGCTGATGGGGCCCCACAGCACTACAAACAGAAACCCTGCCTTCCTATCTGTGCTCTGCGTTGGCGACACGGAGCTAAGGGGAGGTTCGATGGGAATGGCCCCTCTTGTGAACTTTGCACAGATCCGCTCCAAGCCATTTCCACGGAGCGGCAGGTGGATTTGTGATGTTAACGCGGTGGGGCTGACCACGTTCCTCTCCTGATGTGTTCTCTCTCTCTCTCTCTCTCTTTCCCCGTCACCCCCTTGAACTTGTCCATGAAGCTTTCTCTCAAGCTGGTAAGCACGATTGTCCCCTGCATGCCCTGGTCTAACCAGGTTTCCCCTGTGTGTCCTCTGGGTGTCCGCCCCGTGCCTCCTGCCTTCGCCGTTCACTCTGGCCTGTGCTTCTCCTGTGTGTGCTGCCGTGGCTCTGTCTTTGTTAGACTTAGACCTTCAAAGCACGAAGGCTGAGAATCTAATAGATCTCCTAACAGATCTTCATCTTTCCAAGTTGCTAAGAAAATTAACGTTTAACTCCTGATTTCGGTTATGGTGTTTGTTTTTTACTATAGGAGCCTTAAAACGATGACAAATGTTCTTTATTTAAATATGAACATACACATTGAGTCGCAGGGAGTCTATGTATCGGCTCATTTAGAATAAAAGTAAATGTAATCGTTGTCAGATGCTCCTCCCTGAGAGCCACAGAGCCCATGACAAACGCAGGAATGATGCCAGGCTCACACCCGGTCTGAGCGGCCCCCGGACGGAGAACCGTGACCTCCCCAGGGCGCTTCTTAAATGCGTTGGTGCCTGTGCTTAGCTGATTGGAGAAGCCACCAGGTGATGTGTGGACCGTGCAGAGCCTCTGCCTCCCAGCTGATGGACTCAGTGTTCCGTGTTGTTTCTCCTTACTTGTACAGCCCTCGTGAACAAAACTAATCACTCCATGTACTAAAAGAGAATCTTAACCAACATAACCCACAGCTCCACGTCAGGTGTGTGTAAGCTACCTTCTCAAACAATACCCTGACCTATGGCCAGTGATAACGGTGGCAGCTCCGCCAGGAGCCAGATGAGCACTTTGTGCTCTGCGGTTGCTAATGCGGATGCTATTTCACGGTGATTCGTACATACACGCGTGTGTAAGTGTGTATGCAATCTGCGTATATACAGAATTTTTTCAACCTGACTCAGTATCTGGCAACTGATGACACAGCCCTAAAGAAAATGAGTATTTTATTAAGTTGAACATTTCTTGGGCTGAGATAAAAATCTTGAGCCAAGTCCTGATTAAGGACAAGAAGGGAAGATCCGGATGCTCATGGGAACCGCGTTCCTCAGTGGCAGGCACCCGGGAGAGGCGGCACCGGTTGACCAGGGCCTCTCGGACGCCGGGCCTCCTCGCCCTCGCGTGCCCTTTGCCGCGGTGCCCCCAGCAGAAGGCCATCTGTCAGGCAGTCTTTCTGGTCTGAGATAGAAATCATTCTACCCACCTGGCATTGAGTTGTCGCCTAGCCAGTGGTCGGCAGACCCATGAGTCAGCAGAGCCAAGTATCGACAGCACTTCTCCAAACAGACTCGCCCCGGCCGAAAACCGGCTTCTGCGCACGGGCCACAGAGTTTCAGTCGCACTGTACGTGCGCCCGCTCCTGGTATTTTGTGGAAGAACCACACTCAAGGGGCCGAAAAGCCGCATGTGGCTCGCGAGCTGCAGTTTGCCGATCATGGGTAGACCTTCACTTTGAAGCAAATAAAAAAGCAAAGTCACCCAACGTGGCTGGGGGTCCAAACCTCCAGCCTCAGGAAGCAGCTTGCTCTCGTCTGCTTGGGAGGAGTGCTCGGGGCACGTGTTCGGTCCCAGGAGCCATAAACCAGGGTCTCCTGGAGCCACAGCCAGTTAACATTCACGTGTGTGTGGCCCCTCCTTCCAAGACCAGTGCCCTGGTCCTCTGTACCCGGTTCTCCCGAGATTGCAGAACCTCTGTTCTGACTCAGAGCTGTAAATAGACATGCCTTCGTGGCAACAGGAATCCTAGGTCAGGGTATTGTGTAAAGGAGCTTCAGAAGCCTCATTGGGCAGAAGGGCTGCTAAGGTTTCCCGGGAACCCTGTGTCTCCGGATCCAGAAGAAGCTTTGGCCTGAGCCTCCACGGCAGCACAAGGCTTGTGGGAGCCATAGTGGACCGAGGTTCGTTTTAAGTAACAACACGGAAACGTAGGCGATCTATTGAGGGGCCTCACAGGTCAGTTAGACTGACGTCTGATCCGCTGGGAAGAATTTACGAATTCATTATTGCAAGTCACAGGCACAGTGTGTTTTGCTTACACTAGTCTCTGCAGCTGTTTTCCCACCTGTGCAAGTCTTGCACCTGTTCATCTAGACCTGTGTCCCCAATATGGTGGCCACTCACACCCGGGGCTATTTGAATCTTAGCTAATTAGAATGAAATAAAAGTTTAAAATTCAGTTCCACAGTTGCACGGGCCACTCTCCACCAGCTCAGCAGCCACGTGCAGCTCCTGTGCGGGACGGTGTGGACGCGGGCCATTCGCAGCACCGTAGGCAGTTCTTCAGCCTCCGCACAGAGTCAGGCTCATCCCATCAGGGACCTCGCGTCGACCACCTGCTGGAGCTCCCGCCTTCTGATGCAGTGGATCCCACACTGCGTTCTGTTGAGGAACAAGACAGAGCAAACAGCGCAAACCTCGCTTCTAGGTCACGTGCTGATTTGCTTCACGTAAACTCGGCCGGAGAACAAGCCGCTGAGTTCTCGGAAGCGATGGAATCACGCAAATTGAAAAGCGGGGTTTCAGGTGTTAGAGCAGGAGGGTATACGGGGAGGAAAAACAGCCGGTTATTTCATACTGGAGATTAGTTTGCTTCATTTTAGTTTTAGTTTTAGAGGTGAATTGAGTCCTTGGTTTGGCATTAGGGAAGAGTCACTTCCATTGTGGTCTTACATCTTACTACCTCTCTCTCCCTCTCTCTCTCTCTCTCTCTCTCTCTCTCTCTCTCTCTCACACACACACACACACACACACACACACACACACACACACACGGCTTTGAGAACACTAGCCTTTGTGTGGCCTGGTGCTGAACTATTTGCTGAGTCACACTTCCAGCCCCACAGCCTGGCCGTTTAGCACAAGCAGCCTAGGAACCTGGGTCACAAGCCCCCGTGTAAGCCGCTCGGCAAACCCACCTCAACTTGGGAGTGACATTATCCAGGTCCCTTCTTTCCCGCCCACTCCCCAAGCCGGCCTTGCCTTTGTGTGATCTTTCCAAAGGAACATCGCTTGTCTCAAGCCCTTGGCTTAGCCCTGGTCATCGAATAAACTACTCTTTCTTTATGAAAATTGCCTCTTTAAGTGAAAGGACTTGATAACCATCACTGAGCTTCTGACAAGCGAAGCGTATGTAAGTCTAGACCAGGGGTGGGCAAACTTTTTGACTCGAGGGCCACAATGGGTTCTTAAACTGGACCGGAGGGCCGGAACAAAAGCATGGATGGAGTGTTTGTGTGAACTAATATAAATTCAAAGTAAACATCATTACATAAAAGGGTACGGTCTTTTTAGTTTTATTCATTTCAAACGGGCCGCATCCGGCCCGCAGGCCGTAGTTTGCCCATGGCTGGTCTAGACGCTCGCTGCTGGTGTTTTCCCCTTAAATCGCATGCACGGAGGGATGATAGCAGTTGTTTTCGAAAGGGAATCGAGATATGAACATATGCTCAGACGGAGGAGAGCAGCTGAGGCCGGTTCCACACCCTGCAGGCGCTGATTCTGAGGCATGTCCCGAGGTTCCCCTAATGATGGCCCAAAGGCGCGCCCAGACCTCCAGGGGCAGAGGGCCAAGAGTGCATGGGGGGAGAGGAGGTTTTATTTTTAAAATAAACAAAACCCTTTTCACCCACATTCTCTGAGGAACTCGCTGTCCATGTCACTTTTCGGGATGGGAACTTTTGGCCTCGGCCTGGGGTCTGGGGGAGAGACGGGAAGCAATACTCAGACTCGGGGAGCAGTGCCCGCAACAGGCACTGTTTTCTATGAAGAAACCTGAACTTGAAACGGCCTTAAACTTCAGTGTGGCCACCGACACTGAGACAGAGGGAAGGTTCGTCTCAGATTGGTCTGGATCCTCCCCGAGTCGAGTCGAGTGTTTCCTCCGCCCTCCCCTCCTGCAGCATCGCTCTTGCCTTTGGGAGTGGCCGCGGCCTCGGAGCTCGGAGCTCGCAGCGGCTTGGGGACTGGTCTGCATGCACGGATTCTGCCTCGGCTGGTGTCATGGGAAAGGGTTGGGTTTATTTCACAAATGTCCGCACGCCCTGGTGTCTGGGGACCAGCCCTGCTGGCCACCTCCCCGTCTGTGTGCGAGGAGGCCCACCGGCCTTCCCTGGCCTATTTCTGTTCGGTCTGCAGGGTGCAGCGCCGGAGGACTTCAGCAACCTCCCGCCCGAACAGAGAAGGAAGAAGCTCCAACAGAAGGTTGACGAATTAAATAAAGAAATTCAGAAGGAGATGGATCAAAGGTAGAGTGGATCGATATGGTCCTTCAGAAAACCAAGTTCAGTTTGGAAAGACGGGAAATCCTAGCCTAGATTTTAGTAGAAGTGCTTGCTTCAGGCACATGTTGTGTCTGAGCTGGCCTGCTGGGCTGCTGTTACAAACTGTGGCATGTTTTTATCTGTAGGTTTTATTCTGAGTTTGGGGAAGAACCTACATAGGATTATCTCTTTTATCGTGAGTGTGTAGGTGAGCTTTTTTATACAAATGAGGTTGAGATAAGTGGCCTGACCCCACCCTCCCCCTGCCCCACATCCTAGCTGTGGGTCCAAACTGTCCTTGTCTTCCTGCTCACGGTCAGTCACAGTCAGCCTCCTATCTTTGTAGAGCGCTGGATGGTGTCTAGAACACCAATACAGTGTCTTGGACACACCCAGCCCTAGGGCGTCAGTGTGTCCTTGCTCTGGGGAGGCGCTGCTCCAGGCCCCCGCTGTAGCGGCCCCATATTTTCTAGTCGGAAGAAACAGACAGTAAGCAGTAAGCATAATTATGTGATGTTGGGGATGGTGCATGCTGTGAAGAAAAAGCAAGGAGAGCCAGTCAGGGCTGGCAGTGAGTGGGCCGAGGGCTCCAATGGGAGGTGGCCTCGGGGGGAGCAGGCGGTTCCTGGAAGCCCATGGGGCCGGCAGGATACGGGCTGAGGTGCGAGGAATTCTCTTCCCGCTATTTCTGTATTTTCAGTTAAACTGTTTCCCATGGTTCAGTCTTGTGTTGTATCATTGGCTTAGATTTCTCATTGCTTTAAACTGCTAACCACTCAAGCCCCACTGAGAGCCCCCTAAGCCAGAGTCAAGTTCCCCAAGCTCTTCGGTGCTGGGCAGAGCCCGAGCCGAGCATGCGTGCGCGCGTAGGCCCCTTGTGCAGGCTGCGATGTGTGGCTCCCAAACACGGTCTCAGGAAGGTGTGGGGTCCACAGAATGCGGCTTCGAGGCCCTGTGGCACACCTGTCATGGATACCAACTGTGGGTTCCATTCCTTTTTTTAAAAAAATTTTTTTATTGATTTCAGAGAGGAAGGGAGAGGGAGAAAGAGATAGATATATCAATGATGAGAGAGAATCATTGATCAGCTGCCTCCTGAAGGCCCCACACTGGGGATCAAGCCCACAACCTGGGCATGTGCCCTGACCGGGAATAGAACCGTGACCGCCTGGTTCATGGTCGACGCTCAGCCACTGAGCCACGCCGGCCGGGCTGGGTTCCATTTCTTAGTAGTTGAAATAGTGTGTAATAACATTTCCAAAGCAATAGCCGGGCTTCTTCGTGACGTGAACACTTTGCAGCCCGCAGAACCAGGAGGCCAGCGACAGCTTCGGTTTGTAGGAGCGTTCACGCATGGAAATGCGTGGATTTTGTCTGGATTGACTTATATGTCTTACTGGCTGCAGGCAAGGGGAGGACCCATCCCGAGAAGGCAGCTGGAGTTTTAATATCAGTCTCTGGATGACATGGACCCAGAGAGCAGGGTTCCTAAGGAGAAGTTTCAGGGGGGGCTGACCCCAATGTTCCCTTCCCACCCACACTCCCAACCCGTCTCCCAGTCACGTGGTTTCCAGGGTGATCGGAGAACGTGACTGGCTGGTGGCATCAGCCTCTCCCTCCGTCTGCTCCCTTTTTCCAGAGAGGCCATCACCAAGATGAAGGACGTGTACCTGAAGAACCCTCAGATGGGAGACCCAGCCAGTTTGGACCACAAATTAACAGAAGTCATCCAAAATATAGACAAGCTGCGGCTCGAGGCCCAGAAGTTTGAGGTATGGAAAAGCCGTGGGAGGGCGGGTGGGTGGGCGGTAACCAACCAAGACCTTGTGTGCATATATGCAGAACCCATGGGCACAGACAATAGGGTGCTGAAGGCCGGGGGGGGGGGGGGGGGGCGCCGGCTGGAGGGGATCAATGGGGGGAAAGGGGACATCTGTAATACTTGCAACAATAAAGAATTATTAAAAATAAGAAAGAAGGGAGGGAGGGAGGGAGGGAGGGAGGGAGGGAGGGAGGGAAGGAAGGAAGGAGGGAGAAAGGGAGGGAGGAAAGAAAAAGACACATAAAGAGACAAAGGGAAAGCTGATGCCGGGGGAAAAAGGGAAGCAGAAGGGATGGGTGTTGTGAGCTGCCTGCGGGTTCAGACACCAGCATTTTCTCACCGGACACCTGCCCCTGGGAAGGCGGGTGTCAGACCTGTGGTAAACAGAATGCACTGTCCCCCCAGCGCTCTGCTTCCCAGCACTTCCCATTATACTGTGTCCCTTTCCTGGCACCATTGGAAGGCCTTGTTTGGCTACAGTGTCGTTTTTTCATTTACGTGGTGAAGTTTGTTCCGCAACATCTCACGTTGCCAGAGTGTAACTGGGGACAGACCCGCCCTCGTCCCAGGAAATCAGGACGGTGGATTGAGATGTGCTGCTCCTTCAGAGGACCCAGCACCCCAGCAGGAAACACAAATGAGCAGGAAACACTGGCCTCTGAAAACACCGTAGTACATGTCTTAGCGAGAGAGGCACCCTCTGTAGGGACAAAGCCTTCTTTTTTTCCGCCCTCATATTAAAGACCTCAGAGCATGGAAAATAAGTGAAGAACGGATCCTTCCCGTCCGAATCGGTTGTGCCTGTCAGTGAGGGGTCAGATGTGGGTTTTTGTTGTTTCTAGAACCTGTCAGTCAGTGATGGATGTTTGCGTGTTTAGAACCTGGAAATGTCCATTTCTGGCCATTTGTATTCTTTTGCCTCATGAGCAGGGAACTAGTTCAAATGTCGCTGAAGGTAACTGTCCACTCTGATGTCCTATGTGCACGTTTCTTCGCTATGAAAAAATGACACTCGGAAAAACTGGGAAAGGGAAGTGTGGCTTTCAAATTGAGTCAGTGCTCAAGGGTAGCAGTTCCTCATGTTTCCCAGTGTGACCTCTGGGTCACAGAGGTTTGGGAACAGAAGGAACTAGAAGTGACTTATCCCAAGTCACACGGCTGTTCGCAGCCCAGGGGTGGGACAGGGTCCGTCCCCCTCTCCCCCCCTCTTCTCCCCCCCCACCTAAATATGTTCTTTCCACTTCCGCTCCTTGGGAAGGGACCGAGTAGCGGCCTTCAAGTGCATATGCGGGGCCCCGCCCATCCCTCTCCATCAGCCTTGGTGCCCAGGGCCACCGAGCCGAGCCGGGCTTCCAGGTCCCGGGGTGGCCTCAGCCGGTCTCTTGTGTCTCTTCTTCCAGGCCTGGCTGGCGGAGGTGGAAGGCAGGCTCCCGGCCCGCGGCGAGCAGCGCAGGCAGAGCGGACTGTACGACGCCCAGCCGGCCCCGACCGTCAACAACTGCGCGCAGGCCCGGGAGAGGTACAGTATCCGCGCGGCCCTGCCTCGGGCGGGCGCAGCTTCACGGGGGCTTCTGATTCTGGACGCGAGCCTAAGCGCAGATCCCAGCGCCTCTGTGGTGAGGGCCTGTGGGTCCCACGCACGGCCTCTGGCGCCACGGGGGACCATTTAAGATGGTCTTGGTTGCCAGCTCTGGGCCGCGCCGCAGGCGAGCGGCGTCCTCCCGCTCAGTTGCTATAGTTGCTGTGTGCTTGCTTTCTTGAGCAGCCCGGATGGCAGTTACACGGAGGAGCAGAGCCAGGAGAGCGAGGTGAAGGTGCTGGCCACGGACTTCGACGACGAGTTTGACGACGAGGAGCCGCTGCCCGCCATCGGGACGTGTAAAGCGCTCTACACCTTCGACGGTAACGCTTCACGACACCGAGTTCCCCGCTGTCCGGAGCTGTCCAAGCACTCGCCCTGTCTGTGGCTGCCTTTCTGCTGAGTCCCCCAGACCTTCCTCTCACTCCCTTTTGTTCTGAGGGTGTTAGCATCATCAGGGTGCTGGCTGTGTATTTTGCTGTTTGGCCCATGTAATTGAACAGCCTTCATGGAGCTTACCGTAATTGCAGCAGAGTAAGGAGTATGGTTATTTCCTGCATTCGTTCAATATGTACAGAACTCCTGTCCTGAGAAGACTCCCCAGGGGGTGGGATGCAGGCAGTGTGGTGTGGGTCCACCCCGGAGAACAAAGCAGAGTTGTGTCTAGGGGGCAGCTTCAGCCACCGGGGAGGGGCACAGACGGCAGGGGCACCGGGGACCAGGCCTGGGAGGTGTGGCTGAGCCCAGGTGTCGTAGGTGGTCAGAGAGGAATGTAAGACCAGAGGTAGGCAGTGCCATGGGGGTGGGGGGGGGAGGAAAGGACACATTTGGATTGTAGGCGGCAAACACTGAGGACGTTTTGAGAGGATTTGGGAGAGACCTTGCCTGACCGAGCTGGACCTGGGACGTTTGTTGTCATGTGTGGATGAGCAATTAGAACAGGATGATGGTTGGAAAGGGGAGCCGGCTGTCTGGAACTGAGGAACCGTGACCCAGTGTCTGCAGGCTGTGGCGAAGCTGCGGGCGGGCGGAGTGAGATAAGTGGGGGAGCCCTGGCATGAGTGCGTTTTCCTTGTGACAAGAAAGGGAAGGACCAGGTTAGAGTTCCAATTTCACTTCATGTCTAAAGCACCCCCACACCTGCGGCCGCCCCCGAGCCAGGCGCCTTTCCCAGGGCTGTCGGCAGTGGTGGCCGGTCCCGGAAATTATCTTAGCGAACGGCCTTGGGAGCCTTGATGGAGGAACGGACGCAGAGATGCCGCAGCTAACACGCTGCTCGGACTCCTGGCTGATTGCAAGTGGGAGCAAAGCGGGAGGAAATCAAAGACGAGGCGTGAGGGACAAGGGAGACGCCACTGAAATGGGAGAGGCGGGGGTGTGTGAAGAGGGAGCAGCCATGAACCCAGGTCCGTCCGCTGTGTTCAGATTTCAGGACAACGCTAGGTGCAGATGTGCTCAGGCCGAAATGGGAGCCTTCTCTGGGGACACAGCCAGACTAGGAAAGGCGGTGGGGGGGCGGGGGTGACCAAAGCCCTGGGAGTACTTTCCCCTGGAGGGAGGGAGGGAGGGAGAGGAGCAAGATGGGGGAGAGGCACGGAGAGGACCAAAGGCTTCCCCAGGAAAGTCCCTGCGGCCTAGCCAGGGGGAGGTGGCGCTCCTCGCCTTGTTGGAAGGGGCAGGACCGGGCACCTGCGGACCCGCCTCTACTTTCACTGCACCTGTTTCCTGACCAAGCTCCTGTTTGCCCGTAAACCTCATATATTCTGATCTTGTTTTCAGGTCAGAATGAAGGAACCATTTCAGTAGTTGAAGGAGAAACGCTGTACGTCATAGAGGAAGACAAAGGTGACGGGTGGACGCGCATTCGGAGAAATGAAGACGAAGAGGGCTATGTCCCCACTTCATACGTCGAAGTGTATTTGGACAAAAATGCCAAAGGTGCTAAGACTTATATTTAATACAGCTTTTTAAAAACTTTTTAAAGCAATTGGAGTTGTTTCTCCCCACAACTGTGACTGCTCCAGGCAGTTCTTCAAAAGCCTGGCCGGAGAGCCGCCCGCAGAGCCTGGCTCCCGCCCTCGCGGCGTCGGCCGCTCCGAATTCCTTGGCTAGTCTTGACTAGTATCGAGTTTCGCTTGCTGATGGCATTTATGTGGAAAGCTGCCAACTGCCAGTTTACAGCTGTGTCATTTGAAGTCGGGTAAACACTTCTCCTTCCGGCAGCATCTGTAGATAACAACAAAAAGTTGCCTTCTAGCTTCTAATCAATATTTCCCAGTTTCAAAGGCCACACACCCCCTGGCGCAGCAGATTCAGCCCTCATTTGTATCTCATGTCTGCCACCAATGGAACTACCATAGGAGGTTACATGCTGTAACTTAGTACATTGAACTATGCTAGTTTGTTACATTTTAGTCATTCACTTTGGAGGAAGTCATAAATAAAAGCTCTTCCTCCTTGAATAAAGAAGCAAGTAGAAGATTCATTTATTGGTATCAAAAGTGTGTAATTCTACCTAAACCTGGTAAAGGTCACTGTTAGATCATCGAGATTATCCTATTATGTCTATTTGATCTCAAACAAGCAGCTGAAATCTGGAAAAGTTTGGTCAATTTTACCCAGTTGATTTTTTTGTTTGTTTATTTGTTAATCCTCACCTGAGGATATTTTTTCCGTTGCTTTTCAGAGAAAATGGAAGCGGGGGGGGGGGGGGGGGGAGAAAGAGAGAGAGAGAGACTGGTTGCTTTATACACACGCCCCAACCAGGGGTGGGGAGGGAACCTACAACCCAGGTACATGCCCTTGACCAGGAGGGTGGGCCAACACTAACCAGCAGGCAACACCGGCCAGGGCCCCAGTTGATTTCTACACGCGACTCTCGATCTCCCCTCCGAAGTTGACAGAGCCGGTCAGCTTTGCCAGTGCCCTTTAGGGGAGCGTCTGTAAAAACAGCACTGGCTCTGCTCTGTCCTGTCGGAGGGTGTGTGGCGAGTAGAGCTGTGGTCGGCTGACCCTCCCCAGGTGGGGCTGTGTCCACACAGACACAGCCCCCATCCCTCACTTTTTAAAGGGGGGATTAAAAGAAATCATTGCCATCTTTGAGCCCCCAAGTGTGGGTGGACTGAAAAATTGTTTTAGAGTTGCTAGCTGGCCTCATTCAGTTAACTGTAGCCAGAATCAAATACACCGTTTCACCATCTTCCAAGGAAACTGGGTCACATGGGGATTTGCATTTCGAAGTTGGCAGGACAGGCGGTGAGTGTCACGCGCACAGGCGGTGCCAAGCCCAGTGTTCGTGCCCATTTCCAGAATCCGCCCTGCGATCAGGTAGGACAGCTACAGCGGTTCAGAATGAAGGTGTACGTCCAGGTTCCCCTTTCGCTTGGCTTTGGAAAGTATTCGTGTCCTTTAAATGGGAAATGAGCTCCTTGCCTGGACACTGAGGGCTCCTTTAAAAAGCTCAAGTCAACTGGGAGCTGATTTTTAAAGCCACAGCAGCGCCCCGGTGGGAGTCCAGGACCCGGACCCGACTCCAGCAGGAAGTTCGCAGCCATTGCTCCCAAGGGCCACCGAGGTGGAATTTAGTAGCTTTTAGATAATGACAGCCGATTTTTAAAAATGCTTTTTATTTTTAAATACACAGACCCGGGAGCTTGCCGACCTAGTGGGTCTTGTCACCCAGAGTCTCCCAGTGGTCATGGGGGACACACTTGAAATACAGTCTCAAAGGCAGAAAACCGATGGGTCAGCCTGAGTGTTTAAACAGAACTTTGTCATTCAGATTTCCTCAGAATTATTATACTGATCACGGCAGGCACGCAGCCTGAGCCCAGCCCTCTCGGGGTTCTCCCCCCTGTTCAGCAAGGCAGCGAGAACCCAGCCGCCCCTTAGACCACGGCTGTGGCTTCATGGGCAGGAGGTCACAGCTGAGGGCCTGCAACCTCATTTCCAGCCGAAGAGCTACTGGAGAAAGCACCCTCAACATTGCAAAAGTCTTAAATGGGGCAAGACCGCTTAGCCTTTTACAAGCCGGCCCTGAACAGCGCGGTATTCCGTGAAGTTCCTCCCTTGGTTTTGTTTTTTTGTTGTGTTTGTTTTTCGTTTAGTGGTATGCAAATTCGATTCAGAAAACAGCCCCGTTGGTTTTCGGGAGGAGCGGTTTGGGTGCATAAATTATCATTATTAAGTTGTACGCTTTGTCTCAATAGCCCAGGAATGGATGTAATATTGACTCAGCAGTGATACTTTGTAGTTTCAGTTCACTGGAACAGTTCCCCCAGGACCAGGAATGTCCCTTCCGCCCAAAGTATACTTGTTTTCTTCCCTAGTTATCTGCTCAGACAAAAGCAGCCAAGTCTCAGCTTGTTTATCAAGCTTTCTCCTCTTCCTTTCGCGCTTCTGCTGCTAACGTGTGTGCAGAAGCCATTCCCTCCCTGTTCATAGACCCGCCCCTCCTCCCCCACGGCACCGCCCGCCCTCCGCCCACCCGCCCCGGGGCCACCCTTCTGTCCGCACTCTTGCCTTTGTGCGTGTGTGGCGTCTACAATGTGACCCTTTAAAAACTGCCAAGATATTTAGACTAGAGTATCTCCCAGTGGGCCCCTGGACTGTGACTCTCGGCTCTCACGGTTTTGTTTTTGAAATTGCTTTCTGTGAAGTACGCCCATAAGCCCGCCCCCAGCACGTGTGTACATGCACCTTAAACACTGCGAGGGTTACTTGAATGCGCTGTTTTAACGTTTTGCTCTTTTTATCTGTTTGTTTATTGGTGATTCCGCTGCCTAATGACCTTTTTGTTTTTGTAACCGCGGGGGAAGCCGGAGGACTGTCGGTAGCTAGGGCCCTGCCGGCTGCTCCACTCTGGTTTATTGTAGACGCTTGGGTTCTGAGTAAGTTTTGTTTGAATGCGGCCCACGTGACCGTTTCTCTCTCCTCGCCCTGAAAGAAGAGAATCTGTCTGGCTCCTCTCAGCTGTACCTGTACCGCCTCTAATAAACGGATTCTTCTCCGTGTTGTCCAGTGATTTGTACCTTTCTGAGAAAATGACTGTGCTCTCGTCCTCGGTCCTGGGAATGTCCTCGCCAAATGCTTCCTAAACATTCTGCCCTTGGCAAGCCCTTCCCCCACGACACCCATGTCCACCCTGCGTGACCCGAGGGCTGAGTCTGTCTCTGGTTTCTCTGCTCCCCCTGGAGATGAAGAACTTTCACTGTTTGTGATAAACATCCGGGATATGCTTCCTCTTCACTTGACGCTAAAGGACCCGGGCACCGCGGTCTGAGAACCGGGCCTCACTTCCTGGCTTCGTTCTGGGAGGCCGGTCCCCTTCCTTCTCTCAAAACAGAACTTGTTAGAAAGATGAGCTGGGTGGGTGGGTGCTGCCACCCTCTGGGCGGGCTTCTCTGGAGGAAAGCGTGGAGATCAAACCGTGAAAGTTCCTTATCGGTGGTGTCGGTGGTAACCAATCCCTCTAAGGTTGCCCTCTCCCCCCGCCCCCCAGCGCGGTGCCCTGTGCCCGCCCCTGACCTCAGCCCCCCCTCTAACAGCTTTTCTTTCTGTTTGTGTTGTAGATTCCTAAGGTGGCCAAGGAGCCAGAGCCGGAGCCTTCCCAGGAGAAACCCTCCGGTCTGCTTGTCTCCACAGGCCTGGCTGTGAACCGTGCACTCGGGCTGGGCTGCGGAGTGGCCGCGTCTTCGGGCCGAAGGGACCCCACGCCGTGCAGCTGCCTGCCTCTGCTTTCTTTTCTTTCCACAGCATGCTCCTGTAGCCGCTCCGCCCAGGCCCCTCTGGCCACCTCTTGGGTCAGAGCTGTCCCCATCCCAGTCCCACCCCGAGCAGGACACGACAGCAGCTGGACACGGCTCCCTCCTCCCCCCACTCCGGCCCTGGCCTCAGTCCTCCTGGCTGCTCCGGCCCGTCCACGGTTCACACTGTGCCTTTTGTGAAAACCTTGCCACTGGTCTCCCAGGGAGACCAACAGAACCTGGACAAGAGGGTCGGACCCACCAGGCGGACTGCGCGCCCGTGTCCGTGATGTGGTCCTGCGTTTACATTAGAAAAGACTCACCTTTGCCCAAGTCCATTGAGCCTTCGGTGGGCCCTTTCTGGTGACGGCTCCTCACCTCATGCCGAGTGTCGGCCCTTGCAACACTTCACAGCCTGAGAGTGACAGTGGCGGGCACTGGGGCGGACGCACACAATGCACACACACGCGCGCATACATGTACATGCATGTGTGTACACATGTATGCACATTTTTGTTTGGGGCCCTGCCTTCAGTGGGTCCACACTGGAAGTCGAATTCCAGCCCTCAGCCCCACCCTGCTGTCCTGCCTGTTTCACCCTTAGGGGCGGGGGCCGAGGGCCGTGTCCCCGAGAACTGTGGCTGTGGCACTTGGTGACTGAGGAGCACCCCGCCACACCTCTGCATTAGCTCGTCGCTAAGTGAAAGTTCCCCTTTTCTTGGATTCCAAGATCTTCGTCTCTAGGATTTAGCGCTTCCGTCACCAAAGGCCTGTGCTCTGTCCTTCGAGTGACCCTGCGGCTCCAGCTTCCGTGTCCGCCATGTGCTCTGGGCCACACGGACGCGGAACTCCCTGCGTTTGCTTCCTGGGCTGCCTCTCCTTCCTCTGCTCTCGGGGAAACCGTGAGGCCGCGCCGCCACTCACGCCTAGGGCGGCGGGCTTCTCTCTAGTGCAGAGCAGCCGAGAGGTCACCGGCCGGGAGTTTCAGGGACGGCATCGGGCCTCTTCCTTCTGTTTGGCGTTGGGTTGCGAGGTGTCACCTCGAGCATCCTCAGTTCTGGACGTTGATGAATCCAACACAAGGAAGTCTCCTAGGAGCCGGAGGGCGGGGGCGGGGGGCAGGTCCTGAGGGGTGGGCCCGTGGGCCTGTGGCCAGTAGGAAGATGGCTCCTCTCGGCAAACTAGGGGTGGCCACACACCAGCCTCTGGTGACTGGGACCCTGAGCGAGCGAGTGCCTGGGGGAGCAGGGCAAGAGGAAGTGGCTTCAGGTTTCGGGTGAGCGAGTGGCCAGCCTGGGCCCTCTCGCTCTTTCTTCCCAGAAGTGGGGCTAGACCCAGGCTCACACCACCTGCCCGGACCCTGCAGAGCAGGCAGCCCAGTGCAGCAAAGGCCAGGATGCCAAAGGCGAGAGGAGTCAGAACCCCCCGCATCCCTGCAAACCAACAGGTGCCTGGTTAACGGGGGCAGGCGGTCCAGCTCTGCCCAAGGCTCCAGGGCGGGTGACCTGGTCTCCGGGGTCCGCGAGTGTCACCTGTCTGCGGGCCACTCCAGGGCACACGGATGTGACGGCTCATAAAGCCGATCCCAGAGCCTCCAGTGCATGTGCAGCGCATCTAATGGGTCAGGACAGTCATTTCGTGCAGCCCAGGGGGAGGGAGACGCTGCAGCAACCTGTCCTTTCCACGTCTGTTACGCTCGGTGTAGAATATGCTGTGTCCTGTGTCCCCTGCCCCTATCTTTTCCGTCCGCACCGCCTGCGCCCGACAGTGGACGAGCGCTTCTCAGCAGTGACCTGGGTGCCTGCCCCTCCGCACTCCGCTCAGGAAGGAGGTGACTGTCCGCCAGCCCAGGGGTCACTGACTGGGCCTCCCCCGTGGAATCGTCTGTTACGAAGGAGCGTCCACCTCGCCTCGCGTAGGAGCTGGACCTCCCCACGTGCTGCCCGCCTCCCTCGGACCCGCTGCTGTCACCCCACCACCGTTAGATATCCTGCAAGGACGCATCTTTAGAGAGCCTGTCCCGAGAAGGACTTGAAACAGAGGGACATGTCCTTGCCCCGCTTGTCCCTCTCGGACGGAAACCACGGGGAGGCCGGCCCACGTGAGGGTTTCGTCTGGGCCTGGGAGCTCTTAGGTGGCCAGCGGCACGGAGGCCTCCCCTGCCTTTGGCAGCAGCTGGCATCACAGGAAGCTTACCGAACAGAAAACGTGATGTTACGCGGTCACGGCTCCGCCTCCTGTGCTCCTGTCACCCAAACCGTGACCCGAAGCTGTTTTACCCGACGGGGCGCACCTGGCCACGGCTGGTTTGTGCTGCACTAACCCTTACTGGAGGCACCGCGGCCTGGGCACGGCCATTGCCAAGGTTCTGGAGATGGGATTAAACCAAATAAAGTTCCGCTGGAAGGCTTCTCTGGACCCTGTACCACGTTAGCCCTCGGTGTTAAATAAAAGTCTCCCTGGGGCGGTGTCGCGGAGTGCTTTGCTGCACAGAGGTGACACATCACCGAAGCAGGCGGAGTCCCTGGGGCTGGGGCTGGTCCGCACCTCTCACCCCATTAACTGGGGACCCGGACTGGTCGGTCCTCCCGGTCTGCTGGGGGCGGGGCTTGTGAGCCAGCTCTCCCCCCCCCGCCCCCCCCCTCCCCCGGGGGAAGCTGTCCCCCGCACTGGGAGGCGGAATTCAGGTGGCCTCAGTCCACGGGTTTCAGGGGAAGCTTGTGGTGACCAGGAAATGTTTCTTTGCAAATTCAGCTGCCGCACCTTTAGGGGTTCAGGGGCCCTGTTGTGGGGGTTGGGGCGTTTCATAGGCATCTGTGCCAGGAGCGCTCAAGCCCACCTGGGGGCAGCTTGGCTGAGAAGCCCTGGTTCCGTGAGGCTTCGCTGGTGCTGCCTGGGCCTGTCCCCACTCTCTGGGCCTCGGTTCCGGGTTGTGGGTGAGGACGCCATGGCCTTGGGAGCTGCTGTGGGAACAGGAGGCCGTCGGGAGAGCAGGCGGCCGACTCGGCAGCAGCTGGCAAACGTTAGCTCTGATCCCAGCTTCTCCAGGCGCCGCCATGGCGTCCATGTCGCTGATGCACACACCGGTCTCTGGTCTGAAATGCTGTGCGAGCCCCTCTTTTTTTTTTTTATGAACTTATTTAAGAATTGATTTCAGCCGAAACCGGTTTGGCTCAGTGGATAGAGCGTCAGCCTGTGGACTGAAGGTTCCCAGGTTCGATTCCGGTCAAGGGCATGTACCTGGGTTGCGGGCACATCCCCGGTGGGGGATGTGCAGGAGGCGGCTGATCGATGTTTCTCTCTCATCGATGTTTCTAACTCTCTCTATCTCTCTCCCTTCCTCTCTGTGAAAAATCAATAAAATATATTTTAAAAAAAAAAAAAAAGAATTGATTTCAGAGAGGAAGGGAGAGGGAGAGAGAGATGGAATCAATGCTGAGAGAATGATGGGTCGGCTGTCTCCTGCACGCCCCGCACTGGGGTGGAGCCCGCCACCCAGACGTGTGCCCTGACTAGGAACCGAACCATGACCCCCTAGTTCCGAGGACACTGAGCCACACCGTCTGGGCTGCACATGTCCATCCTTATGCCCGACTTGGTTCAAGCTTTTAGGGGGTTGGCACCTCTCCCTGCCTCTGGTGACTCCCTGCCCGGTTGGGGTTGGACACAGGTGGGGGCCACGCTGAGCCAGAGTGGAGGATTGGTTTTCTGGTTGACGTGGAGGTTCCGGACCCAGCAGACCGGCGGGTCAGGCTCCTCAGGGAGGTCCGGGAAGCTCCAGGCGCCAGGCCACACCCGGCCCCTCCTCCCCACCCGCCACACCCGGCCCTGCTGCTGGGCATACAGGGGCAGGGGCGCCCTCTAGTGGGAGAGGAATCCATGCCAGGAGAGAACTGGGTCCCCCACTGGGTGACGAGGAGGAACATGGAAGTGGGCAGAGGCAGGGGTTCAAGGGGGCACCCCCATTTTGTGTTAAAGCAAAGGGGTCTCCGGAATTGTGAAGTCCACGGGCAGCCCAGAGACGGTAAGAGAGGGAACCAGGTGAACTGCTGCTGCAGAGATGGGGGTGCGGGTCAGAGTGCGTGAGGGGCGGGGCAGGTGGGTGGCGTGGACGGCAGGCCTAGCTCTGGGGATTTACGAGCCACATGTCCAGTCCCTGCCTCCGCCCGCTTTGCCTAGAGAAGGCCTCTCCTCTCTGGCTGCGACTCAACTTTCCTGAGAAGGGGAGGCGGTGCGCCGGGTGGCCCAAGCCCTGGGACCTGGGATTTCGGTGCAAAGGCGGCAAGCTGGCGCTCGGCAGCCACCCTGCGCCAGGACCTGCTTCTGCAGTTTCCCTGCCTCTGCAGCCGGTACAGTGAGCGATTCACCTAAACGACCTCCCATTCGCTGGGACAGCGCTGGGCGCCAAAGGTCCTGAGAAGCAGGAACTAAAGCCCCCTGTGCCTTTGTCCTCAGAGCCAAGGGGCCAAATGCTTGGGGAGAAAACTCGGATTTCCTCCTCCCCCTCCTGCTCCTCTTCTCCACCCCCTCCTCCTCGGGTGGCTCCCAGGAGCAGGAATGCGGGAGATTCTCTGGGTCCCGCAGCAGCTGCCCCAGCGTGCCTGTCCTTCCCCTGCACAGGCCCAGCCCTGTCCTGCCCTGCCCCGTCCTGTGGATCCTGGGCCCAGTTCCGGCTCCAAACACCCTCACCTGGCAGGTGTCAAACCCTAACGTCCTGGGCGCTTTCCTGAACACACTGAGTGTGAAATGCTTCGGCTCCTTCCCGCTTGTCCTAAGGGCGTCCTGTCCCTCAGGGCTGGAGCCAGAGGCTCCCAGGGGCGTCAGACCCAGCGGCGACCTCAGGAGAATGTGTTTGTGGAACTCAGGCTGAGGAGAGGGAAGGGGGAAGCAGGAAGGCCTGCGTGGGGGCTGCACCTGGCAGGTGTATTTCTGAGCAGGTTTTGAGCAGAAGCGCAGGCAGGTGGAAAGGCAGGTACCGAGCAGCTGGCCAGGCTCCCCGGCTGCAGGGGGCACTGCGGGAGGGAGCCCTCCTCCCGCCGCCCCCCTCCCCCTGCCCCCCTGGGACAGGATGGAGGGACAGCGCGTGGGAGAAAGACCGGAGGCCCGGCCCCCGCGCTTCCTGTCTCCGCGGTCTGTGTGCTGAGCAACCGCAGGCTCCTGTGTTGTTCGGGCTCCGCAGCTGAGCTTGGCTGAGCCCCTGGAGAACAGGGTATTTAAGCGAAAATAGTAAGGAGACATTTTCAGGCCAGTTGGTGCCTAGTTCTTTCTTGCTCACCTTCCTATAGAATAAGCCAATGTCTCCAACCCCCCAAACCACTCAGACAAAACGTTTCCATTCTCACCCTCCACGTTCAGCAAGAAAAGCCGAGCCCAGCACACGCACGTGGATCCCGCACGCACGCTCAGGTGTGCAGAGCTAAGCTATCGCTCAGGCACACGCTGTGGGAAAGCTAAGGCGAGGTGAGGGCACGAGGCCAGGCGGGACCCCGCGGCGGGACGGCGGCAGGTGCTCCGAGGCTGGTTCCTCAGGACCTGGCGGTGGTGCACGCCGGGCGGCACGGCCACCCATTCCATTCCTGGTGTGAGCTTCTGTACATGCCAGCCCGACAGCATCTCACCAGTGAAGTTTAAAGAACTCCCCCCGACCCCCAAATACCAACAAACCAGACCCACCGTGGGGACTAGACTCCAGCATCGCTCACTGTCCGGAGCCCCAGTGGGGACACCGGGCCAGGAAAGGCACCCGGGCAGGGGGCCCTCAGGGCCGGAGGGTATCGCCTGCTGGGTGGCACCGAGTCTGTGGTGTGGTGCCAGGAGGGGCCCGGCCTGCGGACGTGCTGGCCTGTCCCCCCACCTCGCGCCCCCGCGGGCCCACTCCTTGGAGCCGGGCTCGTTCTGGGAAAGACGGGCGCTGCCTTCTAGCTCCTGTAGCCTCTCCGCCCTCAGAGCCAGGCAGAGCCCCTCCTGCGTCCCATGTCCGTTTGTCACATCAGTCACCGGGGATACCCCCCCACACACAGCAGGCTTCAGGCTTCCCTCCCGCGACAGAGACACAGCGAGGGCTGTGGGGAACGCGGGTGGATTTATTATGCGTCTCGCACACAGACTACACGGCGCAGACGTGGGCCAGCTTCCAGCCCGCACCGCGGAAGCTCCGTGCTGGCGTCCCCGCGGTGCAGCAGCAGCGCCCACACACCCAACGGGGCTGCTCTGTGATCGCCTGGGGAAGGCCCCAGGTCCTGGAGAACAAGGTCGCAGGCCTGAGCCACAGGGCTCTGCCCGCTGGGACTTCCGCCACATCTGCCGCTTCGAGACTGAAGTCCACGGTACTTGGGGGCTTTGGTCCCAGGACCCTCCCTCCCCCCACTTCACTTTGGCCCAACAAGGTGAGCATCAGGCTCAGCTGCGTCCTCCATGGAAGCTGTGCTTGGAGGTCAGGGCACAGTGGCCTCACTCAGCATCCAGAACACGCTCCGTGTGCCAGCTGCCCGGGCCACACCTCCAGCCGAGGCCTGCGCAGCTGGGCGTGTGCGGGAGGGAGCGCTTCTCTCTCAGAGTCCAGCCACTGGGGGCGGCTCACAGCACAGGGGGGGTGCGGGGGCCAGCTGCCTCCGGACACAGCCCCTCGAGTCCCAGCGCCCAGGGTTCGGAGCCTCTCTGACCACGAGGAGGTGCGGGGTGAGGCGGGCACTCGGCTCTGCTCTGCCTCTGCCGCGGGCCTCGGGGGCTGGACCAGGCACCCGTGGGAAATGCCCACAAAGCCGCAGCCTCTCCGGCCCTCTGTCCCAAAGCCACGCCGCTGAGAACTCGGGACAAAAACCAGGCCTCCGCTGGCGGGAGGCAGGTTGGGGACCCGACGACAGGGACATGTGGGCACGTCCAGGACGAAGACCCGAGTAAACGCCGCTGACCGTGGTGTGGACCAGCCCGAGGGGGTGGCTCCCGTCCCAGCGTCTCACTGGGACCTAACACTCTGCCTCTCACACACCTGGGCCCCGCAGCGCAAACGCCCTCTGCAGGGAGGAGGGCACAGGCCGGGCCCAGCCAGGTCCTCCCAGCGCCTCCTGGAGGTGTGCTCAGGGCCCAGGCTCAGGGCCCAGGCTCAGGGACACGAGAGGGTCTCTAAGAAGGAGGAGGGGCTCACAGAGCGGCCCGGAGGTCACAGGGCCCGGGTCTCGGCTTCGATCTTCTGCTCCCCGTGCAGGCTGTCGGGGTCCGGCAGCTGGGCCACGCTCTGCCGAATGGCAATCTCGGGGCCGCCGCCGTACAGGCTGTGCAGGTAGGCCCAGGTCTCCTCGGAGATTTGCCCGTAGTCGGCGCCTGCGGGGCCCGGGAGGCGCCTGTCAGAGCAGGTGCTGCCCTCACACCCCGAGCCCCCGTTCCCCCGGGGAACCACGGCCCCGGCCGTGGGGGCTCCAGGAGGGCCGGGCCCCCAGGGCAGGAGGGCGACCAAGGGCTTCCGTGCAAATAGCACAACATCCATTCTCGGAGGACCCAGGGGTGGGGCCCACAGGAGGGGCAGGCAGGCGAGGCCAGCAGAGGGCCGTGGAGGTGGGGTGGGGCGGAGGGGCCTCGAGGACCCACACGGAGGCCGGAGCCTCCGCCCATCTACTGGCCGGGCCTGGACTGGGGTGGCCGTCTGGCCTGACGCAGGGGCTGGGGAAGGACGGGGCTGACAGCCCGCGGGCAGGGGGAGCGGGGCTGCCACCAAGACTCACCCGGCTTCAGCTGGATGTGGCCGCTGCCTTTCACCTGCGCGATCCTGCTGTTGTCAATGGGGCCGGGGGGCTCTGAGTAGACAGGGCCCGGGCTCAGTGCCGCTGCCCAGCGGGAAGAACCCAGTGCCCGCCTCCACCGTGACTCTCCCCAGGCGGGTAAGAGCATGTGCCTCCACCCCTGGGACCCCAGAAGCCATCCTGGCCCCGGGGTCCAGTGTGAGTCCTCACAGGTGAGGACTAGGGTACCAGATGCTCACCCGCAGGCGGCTGAGAGGCCCCGGCCCCGCACAGGGACGTCCTGGGACCTCCCAGCATTCTAATGAGTGAGATATTAAGCGAAGGACATTATAAATAGCCGATTGGCCTTTGGCAGAAAAGAGGCTCCCCACCCCTGATTTGGGGTAACAGAATCCCCAAAGGAGAGGGCGGGCAAGAGGGAGCAGCAGCCTCCTCGGGACATCAGCTGGAGAGACGGGAGGGAAGGGGCAGAGCGTCCCGGCCCCTATGGGCAGCCTGGTGGGCGGGGCAGCTGCCTTCTCAGCGCACTCGGGAGGGGAGGGTGGCACCTAAAGGGGTGGCACCAAACACCCGCTGGGCCGGCACAGACCCGGGCCCTCCTCCGTCTCCGGGACACGCCCACTCCCCGGGGATCCGCAGCCCAAGGCTCCCTGCCCCACTGGTGCCGAGCCCTGCTGGACTCACCGTTGTCCTTGCCCTTGACAAAGGCCTCCCACTCGCGGAACCACTGCATGCTGATGCAGTAGATGACGCCGGGCGACTCCTCGGCCTGGAACGCCTTGTTCAGCTGGACGGCGGGGGCACAGGGGCAGAGGGGGGTCAGCATGGACACCCCAACACCCGCCCAGCCAGCTTCACTCCCACACACTAGACACGCAGGTAGGAGACTTAAACTCCCAGATGTTCAAGGAACATAGACGTCCCCGACCCACTGCCCGGAGGACGGCCACTGACCCTCGGGAGAACCTCTTTTCCGTCACTTTTGAGAACCTCAGCGGAGATCGCGTGGCCGCGGCTGTTTCCGCCTGGCAGAACTGGCCCTATTCAGACTATTCGGACCCTCTCCTGTCTCCATGGCCACAGGCACGGAGTGCCTCAGCGTCTTTTGCCCAGCCCTCCACTGCTGCATGGCTCCGAGCCCCCACAATAAAGACCCATCCAGCCCAGCCGACATGGCCTGGGGCTGAGCATCAACCTATGAACCAGGAGGTCACAGTTCAATTCCCAGTCAGGGCACATGCCCGGGTTGCGGGCTCGATCCCCAGTGGGGGGCGTGCAGGAGGCAGTCGATCAATGATTCTCTCATCATTGATGTTTCTGTCTCTCCCTCTCCCTTCCTCTCTGAAATCAATAAACATATTTTTTAAAATAAGAGAGAGACAGAGAGAGAGAGAGAGAAGAGAGAGAGAGAGAGAGAACCATCCAGCCCCAAACAGCAACACCTCGTTCCTTTACCAGCTGCTGCACAGTTCACCAGGCAGATGGGCCTGAACTTACACCCAACCCCCTGCCAGTACGGCCTTCGATGGGGGCCTGGCCCGGCCACTCTGATCCCCCACCGAGCACAGCCTCCACGCAGGCCTCTGGCTTGTCCTCGAGTCCCCACGTGACCCAGCGGAGGCTGGAGGCCGGCTACCCACACCCCCCATGCACCTTAATGAAGGTGTCGATCTCAATCCGCCTGCGCTTGGCCAGCGCCTCGATCTCCACCTGGCAGATGGAGCACACGTACAGGTGGTTCACAGCAGGCCCGCCCCCAAACCTGCAGGAAGGGGGAGAGGGGAGGGGACATAGAAACACACAGCCCTGAGGGAGGTCCCGGGGGCAGGCCTGGAGAGTGGGCACTGCTCTCCGCCAGCCAGCCCTCCTGTCCCGGGAGGCCCCTGGCACTGCTCCCTGGGCCCCCTGGCCCAGTCTGTTTACTCCACGTGCCAGCGTGCCCAGTTCCCGCAGGGCGCCCGCCCAGGCCGGTGCGTCACAAAGACACACCAACGTCCACTTCCGCTCCTGGCCACTGGGCAGGGGCTGTGGGGCTGAGCCTGCCTGCTGGACCCTGCGGGGCTGCAGGTCCTTCTGTAGGTGGAAGCACGGGTCCCACAGGATTTGGGGCGCACTCCCTGTGGGGTTCTGTCCCACCCACAGGGCAGGGTCTGCACCCAGCTGCAAGTGGATGGGGCCCAGCCAGTCCAGCACGAGGCCGGGCAGCCAGGACCCCTCGGCCGCGCCTTCCACACCCGTCTGACCCTCTCTCCAGGCCGTGGCACATCCTGCCTGCCCGGCTACAGGGGGGACCTGGGCCTGGGCAGGTCCTCAAGGGAACACAGGCTCTTGGTCTTGATGAACTTGAACCCAGAAGGCCCGGGCAGCACGAGCCCTAGGCCACCTGAGCTGGGCATGGGTGGGGGAGGGACCGGCCTGCAGGACTACCTGTGAGAGGCCAATGTGCTGGCTTCTGTAGAGCCAGGGTGGTGCCCACCAGAGGCACCTTTCTCAGTGCAGACACAGTTGCAAGGGAAGCCCTGCACGGCTCCATGCCATCTGCTGGGTGTGGGGGGCCTGGGCAGCCCTGCCCGCTCTGCTCTCCGGCCCAGCTGCCTGCGGGCCCACACGGGCCGCTGCCTGCAAGAGGTGGCCTCGGCTCCCTACCTGCCGTACAGGTGCTCCCACACGTTCTGGGGCAGGATCACCACCAGGTCGTCGATGTAGTGGTACTTGTTGGGCGGGATGCCTGGGGAGGAAGGCGCAGGGAGGGTGAGGCGGGGGCTCGGCCCGCCCGCCCGGCACCCGCCCACCGAGAAGGCCCTCACCTCCGTGGGGGCAGAGGAAGGTGTGGTTGGTGACGGGCCCCGGCTCGGCGAAGGTGTTGAACTTGTTGAGCCATTCCCGGGACACGTAGAAGCGCAGCAGGCTGGGCTCCCGCATGGCGGCCAGGGACACCACCTGCTGCCGCTCCCGCACGGCCTCCTCGCTGCTCTTCCTGGCGGGGCGACAGGAGCCGCTGCGCTCCCCTCCATGGGCACAGCCGCCTGTCCAGGGCTGTTCAGAGGCGCCCACCTCCCGGATCCAGCCTCCTGACTCTCACCGCCCGCACCCCTCGGCCAGCTGTCCACCTCTCAGCCGCCCACCACCCCGGCCGGAGTCCTGGCCACATCACCTCCACGGGGACCACACAGAAGACCCAAACCCCGTCTCCGGCTTCCCACTTCCCCGCGGCCAGGGGGCTCTTTCTCAAGAACTTGAATTCTTACCCCTGGGCCTTAAAAATCTTTCAGGCTCCACCACCACCATGTTCTCAGTCAAGCCCTGGGGAGCAGGGCAGGAGGTCCAGGCCCCCAGGCCCCGTAACACCCGCCCAGGCGCACACCTGCCCAGGCGCACACCTGAGAGGCGCACACCCGCCCAGGCGCACACCCGCCAGGCGCACACCTATAGAAGAGGACGTAGGCCTCAGCGCTCTGCACCACCGTCTCGTGGACCTCGGTGACGTACTGGTCATCGAACTCGTACCACTGCCCGTTGATCACGTTCTGGCAGTAGGCGATGTAGTGGCCGCCTGCGCGGGAGAGGCAGGCAGGTTATGGGCGCCCTGGGGAACGGGCGGGGCTGGGGGTGGGTGTGGACTCACTGCCCGCCGTGCCGTGGTGGCAGATGACCGAGAGGAGGTCGTAGGTGGTGATCTGGGACGTGCACTCCTTGGCCAGGAAGGGGCGCAGGTCGAGGCCCTCGAGGGGGAAGGAGACGTGGCTGCTGATCTTGAACGAGTACATCACCTCGTGCCGGAAGCGCTTCAGGTGGATGCACAGGATCTGGGGGAGCCGGAGGTTGGTCATTCCAGGGCCGACCAGGGCCCATCATCACCCTGTTACCTGACAGGGGCCCACTGTTGCCCGCCCAGGTCCTGTCATCTGAGTAGGAACAGGAGAGCCAGCGGCTAGAGCAGGGCTGGGCAAACTTTTTGACTCGAGGGCCACAATGGTTTCTTAAACTGGACCAGAGGACCGGAACAAAAGCATGGATGGAGTGTTTGTGTGAACTAATATAAATTCAAAGTAAACACCATTACATAAAAGGGTACAGTCTCTTTTTTTAGTTGTATTCATTTCAAACGGGAGGGATCCGGCCCGCGGGCCGTAGTTTGCCCACCGCTGGGCTAGAGCCTCTGAGGCCCGCGCTGGCGGTGCCCGTGGACTGGATGGGGAGGCCTCTGCTTGGAGCGAGCAGGGCCCGACCCCAGGACAGGCAGCTGGGCCGCGGGCTCCTGCACGCAGAGGGCCGGCCGCCTGCCCGGAGCTGCCCCTGGCTGCTGACTTCCCCTCCCCAGCTCTGCCTACTCCAGTGGTGCCCTCCACGCCCTACCCCTGCCTCGTGGTAACGAAGAAGGCCACACAGAGGGTGCCGAGTTACAAAGTGAAGGTGAGCCCTGTCCACCTGCCAGACCCCGGGAGGCCCTCAGCCGTCCCATCCCCACGGCCTTCACACAGAGCCTCTGAGTCAGGGAGAGGCCGCCACCGGTCAGCGGAGAGGCCGCTGCCGGTCAGCGTAGAGGCCGCCACCGGTCAGCGGAGCGGCCGGCGGGCAGTGGCGGGCAGAGAGGCCGCCACCGGTCAGCGGAGAGGCCGGCGGGCAGTGGCGGGCTGCTCCTCTCACCTCGGGCAGCCGCAGCACCTTGCAGTACTTGACCCCGTTGCGCAGCCTGGGAGGAGAGCAGGTGACAGGCGGTGACGGCCTGAGGGCCCAGACGAGCACCGCCCCGCCCCCCACCCCTTCACCTCTGCAAGGTCAGGATGGAACCTACTGGGGAACCCGGGGGATGTGTGTGGAGCTGGTACCGACCGCAGGGGGTGGAGACGAGGAACGGGGAGAAGCCCCGGATGCACACACTTACTTTTTGCACCGCTCACAGCTGTACATGTTGTCACCTAGGACAGGAGAACACGACACAGGTCGGTGGGGAAGGCAATGAGAGGCAGGAGTGCACCAGACGGCACACGCCTTCACAGGGTGAAGGGCACACGTCACGGGACCCTCTTGGTGGGTACAGAAACGCCACCTGACAAATTTCAATGCCCATATTTCCATGAACACGGATTTCAGGAAACTGGGCACAGAAGGAACACAACCTCAACGTAGAAAGGCCACATATGACAAGGCCACAGCTAACATCAGACTCCACGGTGGAAAGCTGAAAGCTTCCTCTACAAGCAGGACTAAGACAAGGGTGCCCATCTCACCACTCCTGTTCAACACGGCCCTGGAAGTCCAGGCCACACTCAATAGGAAAATAGGAAAAGGACAGAAACGGGAAATTTCAAAATAGGAAATACTAACAGCCGATAGACTTGCAAAAACCATGTTCACGCGCAGCAATAATCAAGGACATGCAGGACGAAAGCGTGGTATGGTCTTTACCACCAGATTAATAGGAGAGAAAAACAGGTGGGCCCCTGAGAGCTGCCAGGTGGTGGACGGGGAGGACATGCAGCCCCCGGCCCAGCCCGGAGGGCAGGGGTGGGAGGCTGACAGGCAAGTCCCAGAAACCTCCAACTGGATGCTGCCCCAGCTGCCCCGTCCAAGCCAGCCTGGCCACTCACCCTTCAGCTCATCCGCAGCAAAGAAGGCAGCGAGGCAGTCTTCCAGGGTGATGACCGGCCCCCAAAACCAGCTGGGGGTACAGGATACCACAAACCTATGGGGACAGAAGAGGGGTGGTGGGTGCGACCAGGGCCTGAGCAAGGGTAAGAGCCGGGGACCTATGGGCTGAGGCATCTTGGCCCAGTGGGTGGAGCCAGGCACCTGGGACCACCAGCCAGCAGCTCAGTGTCCTGGGAGAGTGGCCTCATCTCGCCCTGAGCCTCGCTTCCCTCATCTGAGGGGCCCTGAGCCGCTGGCCGTCCTGGGGCAGGGAGAGCAGGCATGGTCAGGGAAAGCCACACTGCCCTCCCCCCGCTGGCCTCCTTTATAGCTGCCGCCTGGTCACTCCTGTCCTCACCTGCCTTCCAATCCAAGGGCCATCCCGGCGTGGACAGGGACACCCCCCACTTAGCTGACTCCCACACATCCTTCAGCCTCCAGCTTCCTTCCGGACCCCACCCTCGTCCCTACAAACGCCTGTGCTTTGCTGTTTAAGGTCTGTCGCCTCCCAGGCTGGGCGTCCCAGGAAGGCGGGGCTGGGGCGCTCGCGTCTTGGAGGGCAGCGGGGGCTTACCGTCGGATGTACTCCATGATGAAGGCGAGCCAGCCCTGGGCGGCGTAGCTGTCCCCACAGGAGCCCGGCTTGGCCGGCACGTTCTGGTAGATGGCCGAGTGCAGCTTGGCCAGGTCCTCCTTGCCCGGGATGGGCAGGGACAGGTCCTGGAATGTCTCTACTGTCGTGGACACCTGTGGAGTCAAAGGTCAGCCTGGGTCTCCACCTTCCAGAATCCCGCCCTGCTCAGACCAAGCAGAGTCTGCACCCGAGTCCCAGCCACCGGCTGGCAGGTGGGAGGCAGAGGGCCTGCTCCCCAACCCCTGGGCCTGGGCACCCTGCCCCCAGGGCCCTGCCTCTCGAGAAAGGCAGGGGCCTCAGGCGGAGAACACGCTCCTCACCCGAGCCCCAGCGCAGGGCACTCACCCGGTCACAGGTGAGACACTGCACGAGGCTGAGGATGGAGCCGTCAAAGATGTCGGAGATGACGCTGCGGTAGCGCTGCTCCTTCCGCCGCCGGCTGCCCGTGCTCGGCCCCTGGGCTGCGGGCACAGAGGGAGTGAGAGCCAATCCTGGGTCTGCCTGGGGCCAGGACCGGGCTCGGGCTTGCTTGGCCAGGACGTGGGGTCAAATCTCTGCGTCACGTGACTAGGTCTGCACTCCACTCCTAGCGCCTGGCCATGATCTATACGATGGGGCTCCCCCACTCATGTCCCAGTGGTGGTGGGGGGTTCAGAGTCGCAGCCCAGCCCAGCAAGGAAGGCTCGAACCCGGAGGCCACAGGCAGGACTCCCACTCCCAGCCCCGCTGCCCACCCTCCCGCCAGTCCTCCACACCTTTCTTGAGCACGTAGGCCGGCCCCATCCTCACGGGGCTCGCGCGAGGAGGGCTGCTGGCCAGCGTGGTGTGGCCCTCGTGGTGGTGGACGGGGCTGCAGGGCCGGGACACGCTGCGCATGTGGGCCTCATTGTCAGGCTCTGTGGGCAGAGAGGGGACCGTGCTGGGCCAGGGCAGCCAGCACCTCCTAAAGGGACTGAGGCCTGAACCCGCCGTGGGTCCCTCGTCTGTGCCCACCCATGTGACGTTCACAGGGCTGCAGGGCAGGCTTTGAATTCCCCGCCAGCTTTATCAGCTAAATGAGTCTGGACCTAGTATTTAGCCCATTTCTCACCCAGGAGTTGGGTCTTGTGGTAGAAACCCCCCCCCCAGGGTGGTAGGGACACCGAGTGTGGCAGTGCTTGGCGCACAGTAGGTGCTGGACAAACGGCGTGGTTTCCTGAGCGGCCGGCTGGTACCTGGTGTTCGGCAGGGGCTGGCGGACCGTGGCGATGGGGGCTGAGCCTCTGGGGGCCGGGGGTCAAGGGCGGCAAGGGCGGTGTCCACGTCCGCATCCTCGTCCACCTGCTCTGAGCTCGTGCGCTGCTGGCCCCAGGAGAACTTGCGGTCCTTCATCCGCTCCTTCTCCGAGATGGCGCGGCCCGCCTCATCGCCGATCAGCAGCTCCGCCTCGGCCGAGCCGCCCTCACCCCGGCCCTGACCGCCGCCCTCGCCCCTGTCGCTGCTGGAGTCACAGGACAGGAACTCGTCCTCTGACGGGCTCCGGTCGCCCTCCCTCTTCTCGTCGGAGTCACTCAGATCCGAGTCCCGGGCCTCCGTCAGGGCCGCGGCCACCGCCACCACCGGCTCCTTGAGCTCCTCGTGCAGCTGGTCCATCAGGCAGCGCAGGAACTCCTGGGTGTCCTGGAACCAGGGGCCGTGTCACCAGGGCTCTCCCGGTGGGGGACCTGCCACAGCGCCTGCTGCTTCTGATGAGGCCGCCGGGCGCCTCCTCTGGCCCGTCCCGCTGCGCCCGGGCAGACGCACTGATGGCCCCTCAGCGGCCGGTCCCACCGTCCTCACCCCCCTCTGCTGAGCACATGGGGGCTGGGAGCGCCGGCCTCCCGGTCACGCAGCAGCTGTCAGGTGGCAGAGCCCAGATCCATCCGGCTCCAGCCACTGCTCTTCACCTGTCGCTCTGCTTCCCACTCAGCTGGGGAGCACAGGTGTCATGTTTAGCCAGTGGGGTCACCTTGCTCCTTAAAGGAGAGGACACCTGGGCAGGCAGGGAACCCATGGAAGAAGGAAGGTGACAGGGACACACGAGGGCTCAGCTGAGTTCTGCAGGGAGCACCACCACCCGCAGGCCAGACCTCTGGTGTCCCTGCTCTCCCAGTCCTGCCCCGGCCCCGCCTTCCCTGTGAGGCCCCGCCTCCCTGTGAGGCCCCGCCTCCCTGTGAGGCCCCGCCCCCTTCAGCTGGAGGACAGGATCTACCTCCTGCAGACACAGACCCTGGCAAGACTGGGACTAAGTTGTCACTTCAGTTCTCAAATCACAGCATTGACGCTTCTATCCTGTCGCCAACCCAGCGGGAAGCCAGGGCAGCAAGGCCCGAGCCCTGAGCCCTGCTGAGCAGCGTGCACACAGGAGGTGCTTTAATAGGTCTCAGAGCGGGTCGGGGAGGGGGCACTTGGTGCCAGGCTGGGCTCCTGGGTTCAGAGTCCGGTTCTGTCCCTCGTAGTCCCCCCCCCCACCCCCCAACTCCTGAGCATACAAGGTGGGCACCACGAGGTGGCCAGACCCAGCCGAGCACCCAAAGCCTCACGTGGGACCTGGGAGGGGCCTCATTCTCTGGGCTCCAGCAGGGAAGGGAGGGCTGGACGAGGCTTTCCTTGGTCAAAGTGCCAAACTCAAGATCAGAGATGCGAACACCACCTTGTCTCGCATTAGGGGGGGAGGAGACGAGTCCTGTGTCAGGGGCACTGGAAGGTTAAGACGCCACCTACTGTCCTGCCTTTTAACAGACGCGCTCTGTGCCAACATCTGGAGCCACGGGAGCGCGGCAGCACCCCCCCACCCCACCCCCGAGAGCCCTCCAAGCGGCTACGCTTCAGACACAGAACTGTTCCGGCCCCGGCGGGTGCCAGGCAGCAGCCGAGCGGCCTGCTCCAGCGGGTCCTCGCTGAGAGCCCGAGGGCCAGCACGCCCGTACAGCCGGAGGCGCCGAGGGAGGGGACGGCTCGGCGAGGCCTGCCCACCCTGCCACTCCGTGCTGTGGGGCCTGGGCGAGCTGCTCCATGGGGGTGAGGCAGGGCCCCTGAGAGAGCTCTGGGGCTACGCAGGGCTGTGCCTCTGTGGCCGGCGGTGACCACCTAACAAGAGCTGGTGCTGGGTTCTGACCGCTGTGTAGACATTGTCTCCAGGAAGGGTGGTGATCAGGCAGCGCTGGGCCTCCCAGTCAGGAACCTGGCGTGCGCACAGCTGAGGGCATGAGGAGAGGAGGGCCCAGCAGCCCGCGCCCTGGGAGGGGTGAGCGGCAGGCAGGGGTCTGAAGGCACCCCTCACTGCCTGCCGCTGCTTCTGGCTCCCTTGTTCCGGCAGCAGGAACAGCAGCCCAGACACCTCCCGCTCCACCGGCAAGCCCAGCAGTGAGAGCCCCGCTGTGGGGCCGAGGCCTGGACCCCCACCGGCTCAGGGCTGAGGTATATATGTGGCTGCATTCTACTTCGTCTTTTTTTTATTATTTAACATATTTTTATTGATTTCAGAGAGGAAGAGAGAGAGATAGAAACACCAATGATGAGCCCCAGCTGGTTTGGCTCAGTGACTAGAGCGTCGGACTACGGACTGGAGTCCCGGGTTTGATTACTGTCAAGGGCACATGCCTGGCTGTGGGCTCACTCCCCAGTGGGGTGTGGAGGAGGCAGCTGATCAATGATTCTCATCACTGATGTTTCTATCTCTCTCTTCCGCTCTGAAATCAATAAAAATGTATATTTTTAAAAAATTATATTTAAAAAAAAATAAAAGAAACATCAATGATGAGCCCGGCCAGCATGGCTCAATGATTGAGTGTCGACCTATAACCAGGAGGTCACAGTCTGATTCCTGGTTGCACACATGCCTGGGTTGTGGGCTCCATCCCTCGTGGGGAGTCTGCAGGAGGCAGCCAATCAATGATTCTCTCTCATCACTGATGTTCCTATCTCTCTCTCCCTCTCCCTTCCTCTTTGTAATCAACTTTTTTAAAAAAAATTTAAAAAGAAAAAGGAAACATGAAACCCTGAATCAAACCCGGGATTCTTTGGTCCGCAGGCCAATGCTCTGTCCACTCAGCCAAACCAGCCAGGGCCCTTCTGCTTCATCTTGGCCCCATGATTTTATGCAACAGAAGGTATCGGTTTCAAAGGGGTTCTTTAGATTTACAAAGCGTGTAATCAACTGTTTCCTTGAATAAACATGGGCCTTGAACGCAGGGCTGAGGCGGACTCTGCAGCTAGACCGCCTGTGCCCAAGATCCCTCCACGCCTACCAGCCGTGGAACCCGGGCCGGTGTGAGGCCCTGAGCCTCAGGCTCCCCATAGGCCGCGTGGGGAGAACAGCAGCCGGCTGCTAGGAGGCTCCGGCGGTGAGAGGACCCACCCACAGCACCCGGCCTCTGCCGCGCCCTCCTCGCTGGTCCTGCTTCAAAGCCAGGCCCGGTAGATAATGGCCCTGGTGCCCGGGGCTGCGCAGATGCCTACCTGCTGGGCGTAGCCTCGGAACATCGGGTTGACCAACTTGATCCCGTGGGACAGGCTGGTGGGAACCACGTAGCTTGGGCTGCAGGAGAACCAGACCCATTAGTGCAGATGGCCTGCCCGGGCTCCAGACCCTGAGGGGCGACAGGCGGCCAGCAGTGGGGGGCCACGCCTTTGGGGGGCGGTGACCCGCCAGGAGCCCCAGCAGGCTCACACATCTCCACAGTCAAGAAGGAAAAGGTCGCCCGGCCGGTGTGGCTCAATGGTTGAGCATCGACCTATGAACCAGTAGGTCAAGGTTCGATTCCCAGTCAGGGCACATCCCCGGGTTGCACATGCCCCCAAGGGAGGATATGCAGGAGGCAGCCAATCAATGATTCTCTCTCTCACTGATGTTTCTATCTCTCTCCCTCTCCCTTCCTCTCTGAAATCAATGAAATATATTTTTAAAAAAGAAGGAAAGTATCAAGTCATAGCTACGCCAGGCTAAGGGCTCCTGGGACAGCACAGGGATACAGTAAATCTACATGATAAAAACCCAGTGGTCGTAATGCCGCAAAGACCAAAGACAGGTCACCAGGAGGCTGCGTGCGAGGCGAGGCGCGTGCGGGTGGGCGGGGACTTGACTCTGGGTCCCACGGCACACCAGGACTTGGGGGGTCCCGGGTCCTGTGCAATTTCCTGCGGGTCTGGGTCTCGCGGGATTCCGTGCACTGGGTCACTAGTAATCTAATAATTGGTGTGGTGCCAGGCAGCCTGGAAATGTCAGGGAGCCGCTCTGTACGTCATAAGCGCCTGAGCACCGTGTGTGCGCCTGACACTACTGCCACATTGAACGTGAACAGTAACTGAAGTGTAACAAAAACAGAGAAATCTAAAATTTCAGGAAAGCCTAACCAGGAAACATGACCACCCAGAGGTAACTACCATCAAGATTTCTAGATTTCCCCCTGAAAATACAGATATATACAAAATCATATTCAATGTATATACTTTAACAAACTTGGCTTCTTACAACACTGGAATTGTATTGCATCATACTGCTTTGTGGGTTTTTTCTGTTTTATATATGTTTTTATTTTTGCATCATATTGCTTTGTAACCTGCTTCTACACTTAATATATTTCTACGCTCTCATTTTAAATTATTTCCGGTTTTGACTTTTCCTGGAGAAACGGGTCTAATCCAAGCTTCTGGCCTCTAAGTTCGTTTCACACGGAGCTAAAGCGCCAGCTGCCACCCATGAGGTGCCTTCCCCCGTGCAGTCGTGGCTGAGACCTAGGCGGTTGCGATGGGCGTCTGGGCCTGGGCACCCACATCTGAAAAGGGGCTGCCGGCTGGATGGGCACCAGGTTCAAACTCTAGCTCCATCTCTCATAAGCTGTGACCTTGAGCAAGAGAGTTCAACCTCTCTGAACCTCGCTTCTCCCGTGTGTAAAATAGCTGGCCATGATTTCCGCCTCGGGGGCTGCCAGCAGCGAGAGAGGAAATCCCGCCCCCACACAGCTGCCCAAGTCCGGGCTGGCCCTCACCGCTTCCTGTGCCAGACCTCGGACACCAGCTTCTGGTAACTCTTGCACAGAGCGGGCTTTTTGTCCGTGCGTACCAGGCCGCCACACTCCAGGAAGAACTGGGTCAGCGGAGGGCTGGGGCCGGTCCGGGGAGAGAAGCAGGGGGAGAAGCAGAGAGAAGGGGCAGCGGTGAGAAAGAGCAGGCGGAGAGGCAAGAGCTCCTGGGCGGATGAGGAGAAGGATCCCGCCGGGTGGGGGCTGAACTGTCCCCAGATTTCTATGCTGGAGTCCTCACCCCCAGCGCTCAGAGGTGGCTGTTCGGAGGGTCTTTACAAAGGTGATTCCGTTAAACCGAGGTCATCGGGCCGGGCCTGACCCGGCGACTGGCACCCTCCTGAGAGGGGGAGCCGGAGAGGAGGCAGCACGCACTGGGGGAGGAGCCCTCTCGGCGAGCCAAGCAGAGGCCGCGGAGAAGCCAGCCTGCGACCCCTTGGTTCCGGATGTGCAGCCTCGGCGCTGAGGGCAAGTAGCTTGCCGCTGTCTAAGCCCCTGGCCTGTGGCCCTTTGCTCCGTGGCCCTGGCGGACTCACGCAGCCCTTTCCTCTCCCAGGTGAGGGGCCCCCAGGTGAGGGCTGGCTGTGTGAGGGAGAGCAGCGGCACCTGCCCCTCCCGTCACCCGCTCTCTGGAAGCTCCTGAGCCTGAAGACATCTCCCCTTCCCGCTCTCCTTAGGCTTTAAGCTTATTTCATCCCACAAGAAGCAGACATTCCCCGAAGAAAAACTAGAAAACATGGGTCAGCAAACAACGATCATCGACCTGAACCCTCCCACGTGCGACAGCTGCTCCAGACGGGGGCACGTCCTCCCGGACGCCCCGGACCTTGAAGTTGTTGCCGGTAAACCACAGGGTGAGGCGCGTCCTGCCCACACCCCTCCCTCCACATCTGCTACCTTTCCCTGAATTCGGGAGCGGGATCACTGGGTCAAAGTGCATGCGTGTTTTTAGGGGTTTTGATGTGTATCCACGTGCAGGCGTCTGTGGGCATGTGCAGCACAGCGTGGGGGCTGCTGCTGCTATTTCCGGGGTCCCGGGCACAGCTCCTGCCCCCTCGCAGGGGAGGTGACAGCCTACCAGTTGGACAGGGCCTGCAGGGCGGCGTTCATGTAGCAGGAGTTCCCCAGGTTCTTCATGCCCGTGAGGCCTGGAAACGTGTGGGGAGAGGGGTGAGCACCTGCCCCGCCAGGAACCCTCACATTCACACGGAGATGAGCCGCCGGGGCCGCCAGAGGAGGACACGGGGCTGGTGTTCCGCCCAGAGATCCGCCAAGCAAGTTAATGTGGTCCCTGCTCGCCAGCCATGATGACCCGAGCGCATCAAATGGGACAACTGTGCCCCCACCGGCCCCCACCACCCACACAGCCCAGGCACGGGCCGTGCAGAGGGGCCACCCTCCCGGGGCCACGTGGGGAGACGGGGCAGGAGGGCCGGGCCTCCAGGACTCGGCTGGGGGCTGCACGCCAAGGGAAGCCAGCACGCCATGCGGTGTCCGACCCTCCGCCCATCCCAGTGCGTGCAGAGCGCCCGGCCCAGAGCGGCGGCCTGGCCCGGCCCACCCCACAAGCACCCTGTTCGGGCCGTTACCTCGAGGTTTCAGGTCATCGTCCTCTGACTCGGACTCCCCTTCGTCGGCCACGGCGATGGGGACGGCTTTCAGAGGGAGCGAGGGCAGCGGAGAGTCCTGTGTTCAAGACCCAGAAGGAGCGAAAGAGGGGTGACGGGGCCAAGGGGGGGGAGGCCCATGTGCCCCCGGGGAAGTCCAGCCGCCCAGCCTCCCCCGGGTCACACTGCCACGCCCTCAACACGTGTAACCGACCAACGGGACCCCACGGCACCCCTCACCTGCTCAAAGAGTCGGGGTGAGGCGGCCGGCAGGGGAGCTGCCAGCCGCTGCTCCGGGAACACCTCCTTCTCGCAGGCATAACACCACACCCGGAAGGTGGTCAGGTTCACGGTCAGGTTGTGCTTTTGTGCCTGGAAGGCAAGATCCAAAATCAGGCCCAGGAGGCACTGGCCCGAGAGGTGCCAGGCCTGCAGGGGGCCGCCTTGCTCTCAGCTCTCAGCACAGGCCCTGTGGGGACAGCGGCCTGGAGCCGGGTCTGCTCACCCTCGCCCGCGAGTGCCCGAGCCAGCATGAGCGGGCAGCGCATCAGCTCCTGCGTCTTTGCTATGATCGCTCCCATTTTACAGGCACGGCCTCGGAGGCCAGCGCGGGCAGGTGGAGCTGGGAGGCGGCTGCGGCTGGGCTTTGAGCTCTGGGCCGTCTGACCAGAGCCCCTGCCCCGGCCACCACTCACCTGCGCATGGATGGTGCTGTGGTCGGCGAAGGATTCTCCGCAGCCAACGTAGGGACAGGCCACCTGGGAGAGGGGAGCAGTGTGGGTGGGGGCTGGCCGAGAGGGTGTACCAGCGTGTCCCCCCTCCGCCCAACAGGGAGGCCCTGCATGCAGGAACACGGGGGACACCCTCGAGCTCCCCGGAATGGCCTTGTCTCTGAGTGAGGCGGGCAGGGCGCCTGGGCTACTGCTCTCCCGCAAAAAGCCCGGCAGGGCCACAGCTCGTCCTGGGCAGACCCTCTCTGCCTCCGCGTGCCCCCGGCCCATCGAATTCCTGACGGCCCGTTACTGGATCCACATTTCTGGAGGGGACGCTGGATGGGCAGAGGCGGTGGGGCCCACTGTGCCCCAGGTTCCCGCAGGCGAACAGCATGGCCCTGATGGCCCTGCCTTTGCTGTGCCCTCTCCTCTCCCGAATCAATCCATCCAGCGAGGCCCAGCCCAAGCGCCTTCCCACCGGCTGCACCCAGCCGCGGCCGCTTCCCCACGGGAGCGCCTGGGGTCGGCCCCGTCCCCGGGGTCAGCCCTGCACAGGCTGGAGAGGGCCTTTCCCTCACAGAGGAAGCGTGGCTTCCTGATGTGGCTCTGAACCTCTCTCTCTGGGGGCCTGGGGCTCCCAGGAGGTAGGACCATGCCTCACACTTCCTGCTGCCCCCACCCCCACCCCCGGTGCCCGGACCGGGCCCACAATCTGCTTTATGCCGAGTGTCAGGATCTAAGGACGAGGTTGCAGATCCGGGGACCCTGTCTCTGGGAAGATTTGAGCTGTTCTCACCCCTCAAGCTGCCTTTCTCTACTTGTATTTATTTTAAAGACATTTTAAGGAACAGTCATTTCAGTATGATTTTAAAATACCTACATGTAGAAATTTAGAAAAATATTACAAAATTAGAGAAAAAATTAAAAGTACCCATAATTCTATCACCCACTGAAAACTGTTAAACCTTTATTGTTGAAAGTATTGCATATGTCCCCCTTTTTTCCCCCATTGACCCCCTCCAGCCCACCCCCACTGCCCTCCCCAGGCCTCCACCACCCTGTTGTCTGTGGCATGGGCCATGCATATGTGCATACAAGGTCTCTGATTACCTCCCCCCCCCCCTCCCCCCACTTCCCTCCGAGATTCCCCACTCCGTTCCACGCTTCCATGTCCCTGGATCCACTCCGTTCATCAGTTTATTTTGTTAGATTCCACATACGAGTGAGATCATGTGATACTTGTCTTTCTCTGACTGACTTGTCTCACTTAGCATGATGCTCTCCAGGCCCCTCCAGGCTGTCGCAAAGGGTAAGAGATCCTTCCTTTTTACTGCTATTTGGTATTCCGTGGTGTAAGTGTGCCACGGCTTTTTTATCCACTCATCCACTGATGGGCACTGGGCTGTTTCCCGATCTTAGCTATTGTAAATTGTGCTGCTATGAACACAGGGGTGCATACATTCTTTCCAACTGGCATGTGGGGTTTCTTGGGATATATTCCTAGAAGTGGGATCACTGGGTCAAATGGCAGTTCCATATTTAATTTTTTGAGGAAACTCCACACTTTTTCCATAATGAAAACTGTGAGTCTCTTTAATCAACAGTAATAACCAAACACGACCAGGTCTGACTGGAGAGTCTATGGCCACACACCGGCTAAGCCCATCAGGCATCGCCTCCCCAATTCTGCCCCCGCCCCCCGAGGCGGGCAGTCATCGGGGTCGTGGGCCCCACTGCATGCGACGGGCTGTACTAAAGTGCCAGGGCCCCGAGCCAGATGCCCACGCACGGCTCACGGGCACCTGCACGGACAGAATCCTGCCTCCTACGCAGACAGGCCCGTCTGGTCCAGAGTCTCCTCCCGCCTGCTTTTCCCTCTTGTCATTTTTTTCTTAATTTTCATTGTTTAATCTTCACCCGAGGACATTTTTCCATTGGTTTTTAGAGAGAGTGGAAGAGAGGGAAAGACAGAGAGAAACATCGATGTGAGAGAAACACACCGATTGGCTGCCTCCCGCGGGTGCCCCGACCAGGGCCCGGCCGGGGAGGAGCCTGTAACTGGGGTGCGTGCCCCTGACTGGAATCGAACCGGGGACCCTTCGGTCCACAGGCTGATGCTCCATCCATTGAGCCAAACCGGCTAGGGCCCCTCTTGTCATGTTTAATGGCTGCCAAGGCAGCCAGCCAAGGACTCGCTGAGTCTGGGGCCCTCTTGGCTTGGGACCCGCCCCTGAGACAGCCATGCCATGTCCTGTGTCCCTGCCCAAGGACCCAGCATGGGGGACGGATGTTCCCAGCCCCGTCCAGATGGCACTCACGCCCCGGCAGCCGCAAGGAGCCCATACCTGGAGACAGGCCCACAGGTTCGGCCCAGAAACACCGCACGACTGACAGGCTCCCTGCGCGGGGTGAAGGAGAAAGGGCAGAGGTGACAGGCCGCGGAGACCCTCCCGGAGCCCGGCCGCTCCAGCTGGGGGAGCGCACCCCTGCCTCTGCTGACCCTCCCGCCCCACATGCCTCCGCTCGAAGGCTCTGTGCCTCAGCAGGGCCCTCAGCAGCCACTAGCCTAGGTCGGTTCCCATTCTACACTTCAGTTCCTGCAAAGACACGTTCAGTGGCTGCATTTGAACCTCAGACCCCTGACTCTGCAATCCCATCACACCCTCTACTCTTCCCTTGCTCCCATCTAGACTCCGAGCTCCATGAAAAGGGGTGGTCTGGGTTGTGTCCTCCTGTGACTTCAGAGTCGGGAACAAATGAGGAGACCAATGTCCTTGTTGACCCCAGAAAACACAGGTGACTGGTAGTCCGGGTGACGGAGCCTTCTCCCTGTCTACCCGTGTCTCCCCTTCTGGCCTGAGTAACAGATGCGTGGATTTGGGCTGAGCACTCAGCCAGCCAGCTGCAGGCCTTCTCATCCCCACCTCCACCCCCATCCCCACCCCCAACCCCGCGATCATGGAGCTCAGTCCCAGTTAATGGGATGCAGCGAAGTGACATGTGCTCGGCAGCTAATGGACAGAGCGTCCGTGCTCCCAGATGGACTGGGAGAAGGAACGGCTGACGGCCGCTAGGACTCGGCCCCGGATGGCGCCGGGAAGGCCTCCGAGCAGACGCCAGCCTTGCCTTTTACACAGAAGATGGGCGAGGCTGGTGGGAGGCAGCTCTGCTGCTGCTTCAGAAACGCTTGTCCCCAGAAATCAGAGGCCCCGAGCGTGGGCCTCGGCACCGCCCTGTCTGAGCCTTTACCTTAGATTTGAGCAGCAGGTCGTCTTTGGTCACCTCCCCTATGGAGTCAAGGTGAGGGCAAAGGTCCCTGGAGTCCCCCATTCTGGCCTGGTCTCACCTACAGGAAAACAGAGTCCCAGGTTAGACATGGCAGCCACTGCCAAAGGGAGGCTGGGAGGCCAGTAGTTAAGGGCACGACCTTGGCCTTGAGTCCCAGCTCAGCCACACCATCAGCCAGCGAGCAAGGGGAGCTACGTAACTTCTCTGAGCCTCACTCTCCTTGCTGGGAAGTGGGGTGAAGAGAACACCTCCCCCTGGGCTGCTCGGGGCATTCTCCATGGCTGTGTGAGGAACTGTGGGATCCCAGTCAGCCCTGCAGCTGCACCAATGCCACCTTCCTGGCTGCTACTGAACTACAGACCAAAGGTGTGGTCCACTGAGGGGGGCTGGGTACTGGTTTACTGAAAGGCAGGGGCCCTGTGTCCACTGGAGGGAGGTGGACTCCCAGCCAGAATAGGAGCTACAGGTGCGGATTGGATGCCAGGTACCAGATAAGAGCTTCCCACGCATCCTTCCCTTAAAAACTTCTCCAGGGCCTGGCTGCTGTCGCTCAGTGGTTGAGCATCGACCTATGAAGCAGGAGGTCATGGTTCGATTCCCGGTCAGGTCAGGGCACACGCCCGGGTTGCAGACTCGACCCCCAGTAGGGAGGGTGCAGGAGGCAGCCGATCAATGATTCTCTGATCATTGATGTTTCTATCCCTCTCTCCCTCTCTCTGAAATCAATTTTAAAAACATTTTTTTTTAAACCCAAAACCTTCCCCAGCAATCTCTGAGGTGGTGGTGGTCAGGCTAGGAAGGGGCTCCTTCGCGTCCAGCCTCATGGGTAGGAGGGCAAGAGCCCAAGTTCGTCGGACTCTTAGGCGCCTGCTCTCACTCTAACTTACTGGGAACGCCAGCCCGGGCGGAGATACCGCACATGCACTCCCACGGGCCCACCAGCAGCTCCAGCAGCTCGCTCACGGCCAGCTTTGCTGTTTCCTCTCAGCCTCAGCTATCAATCACATCATTTCATTCGGGTTTGTTTTTCTAAAAGAGGGCTTCAAAAAAGAAAGAAAGAAAAAGAAAAGCATAAACACAATTCCATTATTTTACCTAAAAAGAAAATTCCATCTCCCTCCTTGCTCTGTGCCTGAGGGCCACACCCGAGTGGGGGAGCCTGGGGCCTACCTCTGCGGACAGCAACACCCGTGAGCAGCAGCCGATCTCCACATTCTCTGTCGACAGCCGCCGTGCTGGGCTGGAGCGCGAGGCCTCTGGCAGGGAGCCTGCGGGACAAACCGGGCACCCAGGTAGCTCCACTGTTTTAAAGTAGCTCCGATCCCCAATAGGAGGTGTGCAGGAGGCAGCCAATCAATGACTCTCTTTCACCATTGATGTTTCTATCTCTCTCTTTCTCTCTGAAATCAATCCTATATAATAAAAGCCTAATATGCTAAGTGTCCAGTTATCTGTCCAACCAAAGTGTAATATGCTAATGATATGCTAAGGCTACTCAACTGCTCGCTATGACATGCACTGACCTCCAAGGGGCAGATGCTCTGACCGGTAGGTTAGCTTGCTGCTGGGGTCCAGCCAATCGGGACTGAGCCCTCCTGCATCCCTCCCTGGTCCCATTCGTGCACTGGTGGGGTCCCTCGGCCTGGTCTGTGCCCTCTCGCAATCCAGGACCCCTCAGGGGATGTCGGAAAGCCGGTTTTGGCCCGATCCCACAGGCGAGGCTGAGGGACCCCACTTGTGCATGAATTCGTGCACCAGGCCTCTAGTAAAAATATATTTTTTTTAAAAAAAGAAAGCTTAGGGTTTGTGAACATTTTTTTAAGTGAATGGTTAAAATCAGTTACATGAAGGGGAAAGGTTGAGTGGGGTAACCAGAACTGTGGGTGCCTAATCCACACACAGGACCTGAAACACGAGTGCACCCGCTGCAGGGCCTGTACCTTACTTATCTCAGCTGCCTCAAGGTTTTCCTTTGGCTTATCTTGGTACCCAACCAGCACTGAGCAGGCACCTCCTCAGGCAATGGCTTGAGTGATGGAAAACAAGCCAGAGCCGGGCCCCGCCCTCCTGGGGCTCAGAGATCCATATTTCCACACCAGGGCACCTGCATGCAGCCACTGGGGGTGTTATAATACTAACCGTAGCCACCTTTTATCACGCTACTACCTGCCTGTTGTTTCCTGTACAGTAACGCAGAGTTGACTATAATTACGGAAAACAGAGATAGAGACAGCTAGCCCTGCTTTCGGATCCTTGCTCTCGTCGCTTGCAAGCTGTGTGCCTTTAGATAAATCACTCAATCCCCAGTGTCCTCGTCCATGAAGTGGGACAATCACAGCCATAGGGTTACTGGGAGGGCGGTGAGTCGATGCACAGGAAGGGCAGTGACTTCTGACCCCATGGATGTTCAGGGTGGCCCAGAGCTTGCATTTATCTGCACAGCAAGAATGCTCAAAGCCCGGCTGGCGCGGCTCAGGGGCTGAGCGTCGACCTATGTACCAGGAGGTCACGGTTCGATTCCCGGTCAGGGCACATGCCAGGGCTGCTGGCTCGATCCCCAGTGTGGGGCCTGCAGGAGGCAGCCGATCAATGATTCTCTCACTATTGATGTTTCTCTCTCTCTCTCTCCTTCTCCCTTCCTCTCTGAAATAAATTAAAAAAGAAAAAGAATGCTCAAAAAATATTTAGCACTGTAACTGTGTTACTGGTCATGCTTTAGAGATTAGGAAACGGGTTGGTTGGAATGTAAGTCACGTGCCAAAGGGCACCTTCCATCAGCTGTTCACTGGGGGCTCCACTGCCCAGGGCAGCCAGGCCGACCAGCCCCGTACCAAGTGTGACACCCAGCAGGTGACTGGTGCATGGCGGTTCTGATTCTCCCGGCTGCATCCTAAGATCCAAGCTCACCTCCTAGAGCTTTTGACATCAAAGTAAAGCCAGGAAGCGGAACCCCAGGGAATGGAGCCAACAGCTGTCCTGTCCCTAGGCAGCCAGCACGTCTGCTTCCGACAACCCGATTCCCTGTCTGAACGCAGGCTGAGACACTGTTCCAGATAAAAGGCACCAGAGACAGGACAAAACTGGGTCCTGGGTTAGCGAGGTAAAGGGTATTAGCGGAGCAACTGACAAATTTGAATATGGGCCAGACACTAGATGATAGTGCTTGCGGTGGAATGAATTGTACCCCCCAAAAGTTACAAGGTCTTTAAAGAGGCAATTAGGTTCAAATGAGCTCTTTAGAGCGGCCTGAGTCCAGTCTGACTGGTATCCATCTAAGAGAAGGAAATCTGGACACACAAGGAGGCACCGAGGACAGACCCTGTGAGAACACAGCAAGCAGGTGGCCGACTACAAGCCAGGATGGAGGCCTCAGAAGAAACCAAATCTCTCTCTTAAAAAAAACAAACACAACTTTTTTTTTTATTATTGATTTCAGAGAGGAAGGGAGAGGAAAAGAGAGATAGAAGCATCAATGACAAGAAAGAATCATTGATTGGCTGCCTCCTGTACGCCCCACACTGGGGATTGAGCCTGCAACCCGGGCCTGTGTCCTGACCAGGAATCAAACCATGACCTCCTGGTTCATAGGTCGACGCTCAGCCACTGAGCCACGCGAGCCGGGCACCAAATCTCTTGACACCTTGATCTTGAACTTCCAGACCCCAGAACTGTGAGGAAATACATTTCTGTGTTTAGGTCACCCAGTCTGTGGTACTTTAGGGCAGCCCAACAGACTAATATGGTATTATATGAATGTTCAAGTTCCTGAAGATGGAAACTATTTTTCTGGTTATATATTATAATGTCCTTGGTTGAAGATGATTGCCCCTGAAATATTCAGGGGTAAAGAGTCATGATACCTGCAACTTACTCTTAAATGAATCAGCAATAATAATGATGATGATAATGAGTATATGAATATATAGAGTAAATCGGGCTAACATATTAATAATTGGTGAATCTAGATAAAGGGTATAAATAGGATTTCATTCTATTATTTTTGTACCTTTTCTGTAAGTTTAATCTTTTTCTCAAAACAGGGGCTTTTAAAAGATTCCTTTTCTCTCACTTAAGGTGGAGCAGGGAGGGGTCTTTTAGAAAAGGTAACCCCAACTGAACAGCAGGAGCGCCAGGATCCAGCACCTACTCCGGGCCAGGCGCGATGCCCACCTACGCTCTCTCAGGTAAGGACCACAGTTCCTCCTCTTACAGAGGAAGGATGGAGGCTCTGAGATGGGAAGCACTTGGCCAAGGCCACACAGCAAGGAAGGGACAGAGCAGGCACTGAGCCAGGCGTGTCTGCCTTCACAGCCTTTCCCACCCGCCCTCTGTGCAAATAAATGGAGCGCACACAGTAGGCATTTAATAAAGACTGGAAGGGAAAGAAACCGGCACTGCTGAGAGAATGGAGCCTGGGAACAGGCCCTCTTTTTTTTTTGTTTAATGTAAAGTGACAGTGTGAAGGCTTTTTATATATATATATATATATATATATATATATATATATATACATACATATACATATATATGTGTGTGTGTGTATATATATGTGTGTGTGTATATATATATACATATATATGTATATATATATATATATACACATTTTTATTGATTTCAGAGAGGAAGATAGAGGGAGAGAGGGGTAGAAACATCAATGATGAGAATCATTGATCAGCTGCCTCCTGCACGCTCCCTACTGGGGATCGAGTCCACAACCCAGGCATGTGCCCTTGTCGGGAAACAAACCCAGGACCCTTCAGTCCACAGGCCGACGCTCTATCCACTGAGCCAAACCAGCTGGGGTGGGAACAGGCCCTCTTGAGAGCAGCTGGTCGGCTGTGCTGCTGGGAGTCAGTGAGGTGCCTGCCCTAGAGCAGGTGCCCCAAATGCCAGCCAGAGGGGTGGCACCTTCACCACAGCGACCCCAGAGCACCTCTCCCTCCTGACCCACCAGATCGGCCTGCCTCTCCTCTTGGGGATAAGAGAGCAGGAGGAAAGGAGGCAGGCTGGTAAGTCTGCAAAGAGCCCACCCATTTGGGGCGGGGTGAGGCTTCCAAGACGCTTGGTCCTGAATGAGGGCAGGCACTTCTTCCCCCGGGCCTGCACTGAGTGACGGGGGAAGTGCCTCCCCAGGGACGCAGGCTGGCAGGCGGTACATCCGGGCCTGGCACCAGCTGCCGAGGCCAGGCCTCAGGTGCCCATTACTCATCATTTTCCTGGAGGTTCTGGCTACATCCTCCTCCCGGCCAGGAGCCAAGTTCCTCAGGACAGGAAAGGTGACGCTGCCAAGCCCCCCACCAACACAAGGACACCCCCTAACCTGGTCCTCACCCCATTAGCCATCCCTCAGCCCACACACCTGCACCCCTCTGAACAAGTACCCTTTTTCTCCCTCCTGCCCTCTTTTCTCCAGTAGACTTCCAAGCAACTCCATTTTCCCTAAATCCCTGATACATTCCTCCCTTTAACCCAGTCTTAATTCGCTGAGAGGCCACCGTACTTCTGGCTCTCAAAGCAGAACTGTCAGCCTCCTCCTGCCTTGGCGAGTCCTGCTTCCCACACACCTCCAGTGACCCCCATGGGCCTTACCCACCCAGCCCCTGCCCGAACGGCCCCGGGTACCGAACTCATACTGACAGACCTCACTAAATCCTCATAACCACCCTGGGGGTGGGCAATATTGGAAGCTAAATCCATCTCCACCTCCACCACTAAAGGAAGAATGACTGAGGCTCAGAGAGGTCAAGTAACTGGCTGGAGGCCACACAGCTACTAAACAGCTTTAGATCAAAGCCAAAAGGCTGTTCTGAGAAGTCCTGAGTGCATCTGTCTCCGTCCAGGGAAGAGAACAACAATCTTAGAGGAGGCTGTTCCAGAAAAAAGTAAGGCATCCCAGAAATGCTGCCCAGCCTCAGAGTGGCCTTCCAGGAGAGGGAACCCAAAACAGCCTCCATCAGCACCTCCCCCAGCCAATGGGCCGTAACAACAGCCCTTGCAGCAAACATTTACTGAAGCTCCTGTGGACAACCTGCAGAGGTGGGCCTGCGGCTGACCCGGGCTCCACCTTCCGGCTGTGTCCCTCGAGGCACGCATCGCCTCCCGGAACCCTAGACTCTCATTTGCAAAATGAAAAACAACTGAATCTCCTTCATAGGCCTGTTGGGAGAGTTCAATGAGATAATGCTTAGCCCAGTGCCTGCCACGGAGTGAGTGCTTAATAAGAGGTAGCGCTTTCAAAGGAACGCGCCGGCCTATAATGAGAAAGGAAAACTACTATTTAAGGGGTTCCTAAAGCCTTCAAAGCCACTACTTAGGCATTTAGTTATTTCCTACGGGCGTTGGCTGATGCCCATATTTGAAATAAACTTAATCCTCACAGCATCTCGGGGTGGAAGGGGCCAAGGGCAGAGCGACAGTCCTAGTGACAAAGGATGAAAACAAGGCCACCTAAGGTCAAGGGCTGGCAAACACCGGAGGAGCCCTAAGCCTCAAAAAAAAAACCACCACATCATCAGTGGGTTCAAAGCATCAGACGTGCGTCTCCTCGGGAAGAAATGGCGGGGGGCCATTTTTAGCGGGGCAATCGGCGTGGGACTTTAATTCACCACCACTAATAACTGGTCATCTTTTGTCCCTAAAGGAAAACATATGTCAGGGCCCAGACTCAGGGGAAATACAAGTCAGCTCCCGAGACGCCACACGCATGCTTTCAACGCTGGATCAGGCCCTGGCCGAATAAAGGAGATGACGTCCCCTGTCCTGGAGAAGCAACGAGTCCCCGGGGGCTCGATGTGGGCCGACGGGAACCCAGAGGACCCCCTGGGCGCCGGCCGGAGGAGGGGAGAGGGTGACGGCGGCCGGGGGTTCCCGGGCTCTGCTCACCTGGCCGCGGCGTTTAGCGCATTGGGCAGGGCCAGGCCCCCGCCGGCCAGGAGCTGGGCTGGGGTCGCCCCAGCTCGGAGAGGCCCAGCCCCTGCACCCGCCGGCAGCAGCCAGAAACTCACCTGCCTTCGCAACCGCGCCACCGCAGCCTGTCAGTCAAACAGGCTGAGCTGTGCAGGGTCGAGGGGCCTGGCCGGCTTCGCCCCGCCTCCTCCCCCTCGGCTGGCCAATCGGGAGGTGGCTACGCCACCGCTGGGGCGTGGTCATGTGGGCGGTGCGAGACGGGTGGAGCCAGGAGGGCTCGGGGCGGGGCGGGCGCTCTGACGACACTGCTGCGCGCCGGAAGCGGATCGGTCCTCGGGGCAGCGGGGCAGCGGTGGGACCGCGGGTCCGGCGCGACCATGCCGGTCACCGGGAAGGCTTTCCGCCGGCGCCGGGCCGACTCGGAGTCGGAGGAGGATGAGCAGGACTCAGAAGAGGTTCGGTGCGTTTGGAACGGGCTTTCCACTGGGCAGAAAGCGAGAAGCTGGCTCGGGGTCTCACCGCCGGCCCGGCGCCTTGTTGACACCTTGGCAACCCGGAGCCGGTGGTGGTGTCCCCTTTTGCGGACAAAGAAATGGAGGGTTCTGGGGCTGAGGCCGCCGTCCCCGAGGCCGCACAGTTAGAGGAGCTGCCCCCGGGATGGGCAGTGATCGGAGTCCCGGTGGGTCCAGGCGCAGGTTCGCCGTCTGGACCCTGTGCCGGCAGCTCAGCAGCCGGCTGGGCGCGGGCGCAGCTCTGTTTGACTCTGAGTCCCGCGGAGCGTCTCTCAACCTGCACATTGCCTTTTATTCAGATTAAAACTGGAGGAGACCCGAGAGGTGCAGAACTTGAGGAAGCGGCCCAACGGAGTGAGGTGGGTACCATGGGGGGCCCGGAGGAGGAGGGGGTGGGGATGACTGACCGCCCCGGCGGGTCGCTGTCACAGAGTATCTCCTCAGACATAGACATAGCTCCTTTTCTTTTATTGACTTATTTGTTTTTACTTTTTCATTTTTTATTTATTATTTTGTTGTTAATCATCACCGAGGATATTTTTCCCGTTGATTTTTAGACAGGATGGAAGTGGGAGAGACACAGAGAGAAACGTTGATGTGAGAAAGACACATCCATCGGTTGCCTCCTGCACATGCCCTGACCCAGTCAGGGGATGGAGGCTGCAGCCCAGGTACCTTGACTGGAATCGAACCCGGAACCCTTCAGTCTGCAGGCTGATGCTCAAACCCACTGAGCCAAACCGGCTAGGGCTTTAGCCCCTTTTCTTGACACACTGCACTTTCCACTGTGCACCCAAAGGAGGCACAGCGTTCTTTGAAACGTTTACCCAGGAGATGGCCTGGGCCATGTGGTCTTAAGGTTTGCTCAGAGGTACAGAAACAAGTCACTAACTCTTGTTTTCATTGCGTCCAACTAATTGTGAAAGCACATTGATTGTTGAGAGTTTGGAAAATTTAGAAAAGTATAATCAAGAAAATAGACAGCACCCATAATTCTTCCATCCAGAGGTAACCAGTGTTAACATTTAATGTCCTTTCCAATCTGTATTCTTTCTCCCTTTTGTAAAGAATGAGTGAGAACTTTTGTTCTCTGCTATTTTCAACTCATTATGACATTGTGGTCGTTCACTCACTTTGAAGAATATTTTTCCAAAGCCCCTTTTTAATGGCTACATAGTACTCCACCACAAGTATGTACCACAATGTAACTTAATTCCCTGTTTGAGGACCTGTAGGTCATTTTGTAAACTTTCATCAAATCAGGCCGCAATAGTATTTTCCTACACTTGTCTTTAGCTTCATGTTCCCTGAAGGCAAAAAATCTTAGAAGTGAGATTTCCAAGGCAAGGTAATGCCAACTGGCTTTATAGAAAGGTTTGCCTCTTCACCCATCCCCCAGCATCTACAGCGCTTGTTGAGCCCCGTGTTATGTGTTATAGGCTTTTCCAGCTGGCTTTGGTGCCCACCCCCCAAATCTCACCCTGCCACTAATGTTGCAATCTACAAACTTCCTAAACATTCTTTCTCATCTCTGAAATGCACCATTCTTCCCTCCCTCCTTTTTCTTTTTGGTTTTGCTCAGTGCTGTGGCCCTGCTGGTGGGAGAGAAGGTACAAGAAGAGACCACTCTAGTGGTAAGTTGTGGGGTCCTCCCTGGGCAGTGGGAAGATGTGAGTGCTCTTCGGTGGATGATTGTGTTACCTTAGAAAAGAAAATTCCCAGCCAATTATGAAGCTGTTTCTTCTCAGCTGTCTTTGCTTTCTGCAGGATGACCCCTTTCAGATGAAGACAGGAGGCATGGTGGACATGAAGAAGCTGAAGGAAAGGGGCAAGGACAAGTAAGTGCAGGACCCGCTGGCACGAATGCACCAGTGGCCCTGCCGGGGGCCGTGTGCCCAGGGAGCTGGGGCCTGCAGCAGTGGCTTTACAGGGACATCTTCAAGTATCCTCTGTGCGTTGTAAACTACGTATAGTTTAAAAACAAAGGAAAACAAAAACTCTTTAAAAGTTAGCTTAGAGAGATGTGGGTGCGGTCCGTTTTGTAAAGGTGCATTGCTTATTGTCTTTCAAATCCATGTGGAAGTTTTTCTTTTTAAAGAAAACAAAAACACAATTATGAAAATAATGCATTCAAACAATAAAAAAGTAAAAAATAAAAGTATCTGCCCTGACTGGTTTGGTTCAGTGGATAGAGCTTCGGCCTGCGGACTGAAGGGTCCCAGGTTCGATTCCCGGTCAAGGGCATGTACCTTGGTTGCAGGCACATCCCCAGTAGGGGGTGTGCAGGAGGCAGCCGATCGATGTTTCTCTCTCATCGATGTTTCTAACTCTCTATCCCTCTCCCTTCCTCTCTGTAAAAAATCAATAAAAAATATTTAAAAATAAATAAATAAATAAATAAAAAATAAAAGTATCTGCCAATTCCCCAGAGGAATCTCCGCAGGCCAACAGTTTGCTTGCTTATATTTATTGTATTGACATCGCATATATTTCCCCCCCAACTGTAAAGAGGATATGACACTTTTTTGTTGTGTGCCTGTGTTGTCGGTATCACGTAAAACTTGGCCTCTGTGAAGTCTTCACTCTGCTTCTCCCCTTTCAGGATCAGTGAAGAGGAAGACCTCCACCTGGGGACATCATTCTCCGCGGAAACCAACCGGAGGGACGAGGACGCCGACATGTAGGTGTCAGTCGGGCTGTGAGCGATCGGGGGTGGGCGCCAGCCAGACACAGTCCGAGCTAGTTCGTCACAGATGACATTTCTAGAGTCAACCAAAGACGTCGGTGCTGGTCCCTCTTGGCCCACCTCCCAGGCTGAAGAACTTGGAAAAAGTCTGAAAAGTTCTTTAAAAGCGGTTCTTAAGATTTTAGATTCCTTGACTAATAATATTTCCCCAAAACATTGCAGGGATAAACACTAGACTGCCTACTTCTTATTTTGGCCAATAAGACTGTTGAACAAACAACTACCATCTCCCATTATCCTTCCGTCTTCAAAGAACCTTACATAGAATAACACCAACAGATTGGTAACAGGTTATCTCATAACATAGGTTGGTGCTTTAAGTGGTAAATTTTAACTTGAGAAAAAATTTTCAAGTTATTTTCATTTTTCTCACCTCTCCATGGACTGATGAAAACTTGCTCACGGACCGTCACTGCTCTGTGGGCCGCGTTAGGGCCACTCATTTCAGAGGTGCCTGTTGTGAGCTTCCTGAGACCTTGTTTCTGGTTTCAGGATGAAGTACATTGAGACGGAGCTGAAGAAGAGGAAAGGGATCGTGGAACACGAAGAACAGAAAGTGAAGCCCAAGAACGCAGAGGACTGTCTCTACGAGCTTCCGGAAAACATCCGCGTCTCCTCGGCGAAGAAGACGGAGGAGATGCTGTCCAACCAGATGCTGAGCGGCATCCCCGAGGTGGACCTGGGCATCGAGTACGTTCCAGACCCTCGCTGCACCTCTCCCTGCCCCTAGGCTGCGGGGGGACCGCTCTGCTTTCCAGTTGAAAGTTAAGGGGACTGTTTCCCACCTGTCTCCTAGGAAACCCACACAGCTATGTTCTCTCCGGTGGGCTGGGGTGTTGTCTCAAGGAGTTCTGAGGAGTTGGGCAGAGCAGCTAACGACACTTAGGGACCCTGACTGCTGGAAGCCCAAGTGTGTTTTCATTTAGCCTTTGTTCACAGCTCTTCAGCTGTTCTAGTCAGGCCCCGTGTCTTCTGTTGTTGTTCTCAATATGTTTTTATTCATTTCAGAAAGGAAAGGAGGGAGAGAGAGAAACATTAATGATGAGAGAGAATCATCGATCGGCTCCTCCTGCACACCCCATACTGGGGATCGAGCCCACAACTCGGGCCTGTGCCCTGACGGGGACTTGAACTGTGACTTCCTGGTTCATAGGGCCATGCTCAACCACTGAGCCACACTGCCGGGCTATTCTCTTTTGTTGGAGTAGGAGCATTGTTAAGGGCTTAGCCACCCCATGAGCCTCCTCGAACATCTGCTCTAAAAGGGGCTGTCATGGAGGAAATACAGTGGTCAGAATCTTCTGCGGCTGAGTAGCAGGTTGGGAGACCTCCGGGTTCTCACCTCTTTCCTGGCTTTCCAGCTCTGAGCCTTAGGCAGTTCTCTGTTCCTCTCGGAGATGCAGTTTCCTCTTGATCAGAAGAGAATAAGTCCTGCGTCTCCAGGCTGTGAGAGTGCCATGGGGGTGTGGCTGCCGGGGAGCCGGTAAACCGCAGAGCTGGGCCCCAGGAACGAGGACTTCCTTCTGCAGTGGTGGGCCGCCAGCCTCGCCAGTCACTCCCAGGACCAGAGGGGCGGCGGTCTAATGCGTGGCATGCTCCTTCCTCCCCTCAGTGCTAAAATAAAAAACATCATTTCCACGGAGGATGCCAAGGCCCGTCTGCTGGCAGAGCAGCAGAACAAGAAGAAAGACAGCGAGACATCCTTTGTGCCCACCAACATGGCGGTGAATTACGTGCAGCACAACCGATGTAAGCCTCGGGGAGGCAGCCCCTCACCCCTGCCCCTCTGGTTTGAGGCTCCTGGTTCCCGCATTTTTTCTGACATGTCCCCTGGTCTCTCTGGTCCAGTT